AGCCATGGCCAACGTTGGTGGAGAATGGTATCTGAACCGGCCTGAGAGCCCCCCCCCCCCCCCCCCCCCATAATCAATCAGCAATGGCCAGGGTGGTGAAGTATGGTCAAACAGCCCCTAAGACTGACACGGCGTGAGAAGGCCGTTGCCCAGCAGTGATAGAGCGCTGTACAATATTTTGTATTAACCCCAATTACACGACCCGTATGGCATGGGTAGACCCTTATTCAGCGTGTATTGACTAAAGAACCGTGCGTGCACACACGTCAGCTGGTGTACATGATGCAGCTGTATTACAATCGGGGTGCCGGGTCCCAAGCGGGAGGGTGAAGTTGGAGCGTGGGGACGACATGCAGCCATTGGCACTGCAGCCACAGGACGGAGGTGGGGAGATAAGCCAAGAGTTGGGCCCTAGATTCCCAACTTAATCATTAACAACATCATCAGCAGCAGCAGCGGGCGTGATTTATCCACTGCCGGATGAAGGCGTCCTCAAGCCGTGACCTTTTCTCACGGTCAGATTGCACTGGCCAGCTGATGTTAGCTGTGGTCAGGAATCGAACCCAGCTCATTGCTGAAATAAACGCGCGTTTTGAGTTTTAATGTCAATAAAATAAAACCCGAAATATCCTTCATGGGATTGCTTGAGTCTACATTAAGTAATCACTGCCATGTTTCCCTTTTAGGAAAAGAGACGTTTTGGTGTGAGTGGTCTTCTGCTTACCAATGAAGCCACAGGCGGAGTTTGACTTCTATATTTGGGAGGGGGGGGGGGGGCGGGGTTCGCTTTGTCCCTCACTTTAGGAATCGCGGGTGCATATAATTAAAAATGTATCTTTAATTTTAAACTAGTGAAAATATATATTGATAATGGTGTATTGATACAGGTGTACAGTTTGGGGGGCGATGCCCCCCACAAACTCCACCCATGAATGAAGCACACACTTTCACGCAGCAGCAGAAGTCATCGTCACCGTCACACTGCCACTACCGCTGCTGCTGCTGCTGTGATGTTTGCCTGCCGCGCCGCGCTCAGCCGTGCGCCCCGCAAGCCCAGGCAGCTCTCCCTGGCGGTGTTCGCCTGCGGGCACCGCATCCACCAGTCGCGACTTCGTGAGAACCGCAGCCGCTTCTGAGGCTCGCGTGCCGCTTGCCGGTCGGGGCGCTACGCACGGATCCCGTCGGGAGCGCCGACGATCTCTGCGCCTGCAGAAGTCGAACTTGGCTCGCAAGTGTCACCGTGGTCAAGGTGGGAGTCCCAACGAGGTGACGGACTTCCCTCGCCGAAGGTTATTCACGCCGACGTTTGAAGATTGGCAGCGGGGTACTAACTGGGGCGGTGCGGCGTGGACGGTCGAGTCTCCGAATCCACCTCGGTCCAGACGGGACGGCGCTAAACGCACGCGCACACGGAACTCGCAGCAGCGGGGCACAACGGAGAGGAACGGGAAAAGTTGAACATATAAACTCCCGGCAGCATAGAGGCAGCATCCAGAGTGGGCTCTGGGCGTTGACGCTCCGTCTGCACTCGTGTTACCCACGGCCATTCCACGGATAACAGGAGTCGGCCGGAATTAGCGACAAGCCGCTGCTGTCATCCGCAGGTGTCCACGCGGATAAAACGAGTTTTATTATTAGCGGATACAAGGATCCACCAACACAGACCCCCCCCCACCCCCCATATAACTGCGGATCAGAGGCGTTCTCCACTGTGTTTCTGTAGCACTCCTGCACCATCGTTGCTCGTGCCGAGTGCTCGCCGTGTGGAATCTCCGTGAAGTCATCACAACACACTGCTTGCTGCCAGCTGCCTGCGCCGCGTGGCGTCGTGGACTGTGACAACGACGACGACGATGATGATGATGTCATGGTGGTGCTGGTGTTGTGTCCGTAGTGATGTGTCATCATCACCTCATCGTGCCGTTGCTGCCTTGCCACTTCAAGCTTCACAGCTGTTGTTGGGAACAGTCAAATTGACGTATTGGCGTCAGCTGATGTATGATCATTAAAATAAAATAGGGAATGTTTTGTGCAGTTAAAAGTAGTTTTAAACTCGCATTGTGTGATTTAAACATGACCGTTTAACCTATTTATGTAAATACACTTAATACAAGTTATTGGGCTTGGACAGGACACGTCACTCGAAGGGATGGTGGCTGCTGGCTAAGAGTTATGATGAAAGTGGCAGCCAATGAATGGAACGGGGGGATGGAGCGATAACATCAGTCTGTACGCAGATGCTCGGTGTGAATTATTGCATCGTACGATCATGCAGAGCCGGCAGCTATGGGAGAGAGGCCTTCATCCAGCAGTAGATTGAGCATCGATGCAGTATGAAGTTTGTTGCCTCAGGGCTTGGCTGGTGATGAGTGTCACAGTAAAAAAATATTCCAAAACGAACACTTTCTTGGCATTAATGTTTTATCTGAGAAACAGGATCCACGTTATATAGAAGAGAAAGGCCAATAGAGTCGTCATGGTAACAGTGGATACTTTTTTTAAATGACAAAATTGGGGTACCCCCCCCCCCCTTTCATTGCAACAGGATCTGGCGGCAACATCAATCGAGAGAGTTCGCCAGGGCCGCGGGTAGTCGCGCTACGGCACACAGGACGGCTGAGGCAATGCTCCAGATTATTCATAGAGTCTACACGTGCACTGTCGAAGGGTCACTGGAGTCTGACCTGGCTGTTTCTGCAGTCACGGCCGTTGAAACAACACACAGCGGTGTGCAGCACTGCGTGTGCACAACCTCTCAGCCTTATCCAGACCACCGGCTCAGAAGAACTGAACGTGTGGGCACGTTATAGTTGAGAACCACCGACTGGAAGAGGGAATGCGGCCGTCCCAGGAGTAGCGTCTCGAGTGACTGCGATGTTCCTTGATGGAACTTTATTAATCCACCGCTGGATGAAGGCCTCCCTACGCCCCGTGTTTGACCATATTTCACTGCGATGGTCAATGCAGGCTGATGAAGGAGAGGGCCCCCAGGCCCGGCTAAGTTGTTGCTCGGCATTGAACGTTGGCCGTGACCGGGAATCGGAGTCGGGTCGCTGGGTTCGTAGCACCATGCACTAACAACTTTGCCACCGCGCCAACTTGACTGTATAATTGGAAGTCTGTGTTTGTAGTGGTTATTAATATGTATTCGACCTGACATCATTAGCACCCGTCCATGCCAATTTGTGCGACGTCACAGACCAGGTGCGGAATTTTAATCTGACCTCACCTCGCGCCGACACGAGCTGCGGTCCGTACCGTGCGTTGTTCGGCACGATGTCCGACGTTTCACTCCACATGCTGGGGGCTTATTTGGGAGCTATTCACAGCACAGCCTCGTAGCACCTCCACGGCCGCCTCGCCTTTCTCCCCCCGTACCACGAGAGTCGTGGGGACGATGAACCGATCGCAGCTCCCACGCCCCAAGCAGTCTCCCCTGGCACAGCAGGAGCCCCCTGCCGTGACTCACCCTGGAGCTGCTGCAAACCGCATTGACGAGACGCCGCGTGCCGGAGGGGACCCGACGGCACGGAACAAATTCAGCCACAGCCCCTTTCCACTTGACTTCTATCACGTGGGGGACGGGCGTTGTACAAAGCTCACAGCGCACCACGGTTATTCATGGGCAGCGGTGGCGTCGTCGTTTGCGCGCTGTGCTCTGAACTCGGCAAGCTGCGTTCGATTCTCGGCTACGGCCAACACCGGTGGTGAGATGCTGGTGTGGAGGCCACCCCAGACCACACCTTCGGTAGCACGGTTGGCTACGTTCCGTGAAAAAGAAGTTCAACGTCCATAAATACAGTGTGTAGACTTCGCTGTAACAACCCTACTAACCGACGTGGCACGGGCAAGCCTTCATCCAGCAGTGGATTGATCAAGGGTTGTACATTATTCACTTTCGTGGGTGTTGTGTGAATGTGATGACAGTGTTCAGAGCAGCCAAGCAAATGGCTGTGCTGCTGAGCACAGGGCCTGGCAGTGTTGCGTGGCAATGATGGCGCTGGAATCGAGAGGTACAGTTTAGAGTTAAGCATTGTTACCGAAGCAGCTAAGAGTTCGGTGTTGACTATTGCCATCATCGGCAGGTTGTCCTTCCCTTTATCATCATCATCATCATCAATTCATCGTCGGCATCATTGTCTGAGCTCGGTGCCCATAAGAGGAATAATATACTCGAGGATAAAGGGAAGCTTCATGCCTGCAGATAATAAAGCCACAGGTAATGGGGGGTTTACTACATCATCATCGTCACCGTCATCTGTGAGCATAGCATTTACACTGTACATGATTCAAATTGGCCTCTGCGATTGGCTCACATTGCACGTGAAAAGGCAGAGGCAAACCGAATAATGAGGAAACCTGCTCATTAACCTCTGACAGGTAAATCCAGCGTAGTGGCACGTTCATGCTTTCATCCGTGATGATCGTGGCGTTGAAGGTGTCATTAGCGCCAACCTCACTGATGTCTAAGCGCATCGCAAACCCCAGCATTGCACAACTCCTAGACATGTTGTGGAAATGGATTGTAGTTTGTGTCCTAGGCAATTTTGGGTAACACCAACCGATACTCGTCCACTAGTTCTTTCAACTTTAGGCGTCAAGCGATGCACAGTGAAATCATCGTTTTGTGCGCAATCATTTTGCAGATGAGCGGGTGGTTATCTCTGAGAACAGGGTGAGACCTCCACTGATCTGCAGCTGCTGGTTGGAGAGAGGTTTTCTCCGATGGACGAGACTAGTTATGGAGTGACAGCCAAAGGAGGGAATGCTTTCGACAGGAAGAACACCGCAAAGGTTGAGCAATGAGGTCGGGTCACGGGCAGGTGCGAGATGAACGATGACGGTCGTGTGCGATGCCGACGGTCCCGGCGCTGCCTTTATCCAGCAGTGGATAGACCACGGCCGTCGATGACGACGGGCGGCGAACGCGACGAGTCGGCGCCTACGGCGCGTTGGCACCCCGCGGTGACGCCTCCCTGTGCCCCCCTGCGCGCGTGCAGACGAGCGCGAGGCCGTGCAGAAGAAGACGTTCACCAAGTGGGTGAACTCGCACCTGGCGCGCGTCTCCTGCCGCATCGGCGATCTCTACACGGACCTCCGCGATGGACGCATGCTCATCAAGCTGCTGGAGGTGCTCTCCGGGGAGACGCTGGTACGTCCTCGCGCTCGCCTTTACACGTCCATCGCCACCGCCTCCGCTGCTGCGCGCGCTCATCCCGACATCGTAGCGGCGCTGTCCAGCCGGACGCTGGTTACCCCGCACGGTCGCGAGAGATATTTTCCTCGACTTGAAGATCGTTAGACTTGTTACGCACCCTCCTCTTGCACACTAATCCGGACGCTCTGCCGTGTAACGGAGCACAAACTGCATCTGAGTGGCATTGGCCGTGTTAATTTGTTTTATATCACCGAAGCTCAGCGACGCTCGGCGTCCCCTCACCCGACGAAGCGGACTTGAGCGTCCCTGTCCGATCGACGGCATCGCAGCGCCGCCGCTTCCCAGCCACCGTGGGGGGCCTCGCGTTGCCACGGCTACCGTGGACCCGTGGCAGCACTCACCTGGCCCCCTACGGGAGGGCATTGGCGTTGGTGTTTTATTAATAACGCCGCTACTGGGGGGGGGGGGGTCGGGGATACACGGCTCGGTTCAACGCGGTCCAACGCAATTTGGGTTTATGTAGCGGTGTGAAAATGTGACAGCCGCATCTCGAGATGCTGTATGAAAAAAACGGTTTGGTTTTTAATCGTTCGTCACTGATTTTCGTAATAAAAAGAGAGTTCAAATCCTGCGATTAACTCAACCGTACTTGCGATTTTAATGTAATTAAGATCAGTTTACATTCTGGTCAGCTAATTGAACCGTGTATAATGATCCTGTTACGATCATACAAGGGCTAAAAAAAAGTATTTTCACTTGTTTTGGCGGAGTGTAGCAGAGGCTCCGTCCTAAATGTAAACTTGGCCTGTGGATCGTTGCGATGATTCCAGGACGTCTCCCCGTTTCCTTTGTTACTTCCATGCACAGGAGAGGCGTTTTACTCCAATAGCAATAAATCCTGACCTCCAAACTCTGGGCGTGCAAGCTTCCACAGGGACGTGAGTTCCACCCAGGGATACTCCGCTCGCACCGAGCGTACCTTGAATCTGTGTGGCGTGGCCCAAACGCCGCGCACTTAGAGTGGATCCTCTTGAAAACGAGTCTTGAGACTCGGGGAGGCGCTCATAAAGGGGTCACTGTAGTCTGTCAAGTGGAATGTCAATATGTCTTGCTGTAGGCGACTGGACATGTGATGGTGGTATGTCACTTTAAATTGTGGGTGTGGGGCATTCTCTGTCTCTGGCCAACGATACCCGTGCTTTCCCTCCCTCCCACCTCACCCCACCCACCTGACCCCACCCATCTACCCTTCACGGCAGTGTTCTTTGTTTGATTTCATCTCAAGGTGAGCCACATATATTTATTATCCACACAAGGGATTCCGCCAATTATCATGGCTAATCCTGGCCGCCCTGTTCAGACGCACGTGCGTCCATGTATACGCACTGAAACACCCGAACGAACGTTCCACCTGTGCAGTCGTGGAAGTACAGTTTACCTGTTATACCTGTTTGCTGGAAGAGGGATCATGTGCCCCGGGGGATCCGTGGATTTTCACACCATCTGGAAAAGCAATTTCAGCTGTCCACAAGTCAGAGCAGGCACAGCGCACTCGCAGACAGCCGTCGTGTCCAAGCTGATGGCACCCACCAATCGTCCCGCCTCCGATTACCACGGTTGGCTACGTACGTTCAACATACACACACATATTCAACATACACACACATTCAACAATGAGTCATGTTAATACACTGCACGGAGGACGCTGCCGTGGGGTGATGGTCAGCACATGGAACATGCAATCCAGAGGTCAGAGGTCAGATTCGCGGGTTTTTCTTAAACGAACCCACAACTCCGCCTGTCCACCCAGCGGTGTTATGGGTTCACCACAGGGAGGCCGCGTGCGCTCGGGTTAAGTGTGGGTACTGAGACGTCTTCCAAGACATCTGGCCATCATCGGAGAGTAGGCCAAGTATTACTTCGAGGGGCCTTATAGAGGAGGCCCCTTTCACCAGCCGCGGTGTGAGCGAGCAGTTGCAGGGCTGCACCTTTGCCAAAGCTCACGGCGCGAGGTGCCACATGGCGTCCTCCAGCACGACCTTTGTCTGATGGTGATGATTATGAAAATTATCACCATCATCATGATTCCTGCTTTATTTGTTCTGCCTGTATACCATCCATAACCAGAGATCTCACACTAAGTGAAAAAAAAACACATTGGAGAAATCTCGAGAAAATGTCACGGGGTTATTGACCGCCGTCGCCCCCTGTGCACCGATTCTACGTTCCTGTGAGCGCAGAGAATGTTGGCAAGGTGCCGATTTAGTTTTTCCCTGTGCAAAAATGACTTGCTCGAGCGTTCCAGTCGAGCCTCCTCAAACACTGGAGACGATCCGTCGACGTTGCTTGGGACGAGCGGAAGGTGTCGGCGATGAGCGGAAGGTGTCGGTGTCGCGAGCGTGCTCGCCTGCGGCTACAGCGAGAATGGTGGTGGTGGTGGTGGTGCATCGTGCACGGGAGAGCAGCGCGGCACCGCACGCGAGACGCTCGCACACCGACGCGTCGCGCACAATGGACGGTGTTTTTGTGGGTTCGTGCGGGTTCGTGCGGAGGAAGAGTGGGGTGGGGGCAAGGGCATGGGTGATGGGGGGGGGGGGGCAAGGGCATGGGTGATGGGGGGGGGGCAAGGGCGTGGGTGATGGGGGGGGCAAGGGCATGGGTGATGGGGGGGGCATTCATCCGCTCGCTCACGAGGCCTGGAACGGTGCTGGTCCTCGCGCGCGACGTACAGTGTATTACAGAGTTGTGTTACACGCAGGCCGCGGGGTGAACTGTTGCATAGTTGCAATGAAAAGCACCGCCGCGGTAATGCGACACGCTGAGAGGTGAGAGCGATAAATAGAACAACAAAGGGGGGCGAGCAGGTTTCTGCAATCTGCGGACGGATCCACACGTGCAGCAAGAAGGGTCTCTGCCTTTTGTCGGCTGTCGCGTATCAAACCCAAGCGCCGCTGGCCACGGCGCCGGCATCGCCGAAGCCGGAGCCCACGGGAGCCTTGCCTGAGCTTGCAGCTCAGCGCGAGAAGAGCCTCGCGTGACGCCTTCAGCGTCTCCCCCCGTTGCTTGAGGCGACTGCGGGGAACGCGCGAGGCTCCCAGCCCCTCCCTCTCTCTGGAGGGGTAATTTGGCCAAATCGCTGCGTGAGAAGTGCGAGAGGAGGTAACGATGCCTCCTGGGCACGGAGCGATCCTTCTCCGATGTTTACGCTCGCGGTGCAAAAGCCGAGTCCTCGTCTCACGTCACATGTTTTACAAAGTACTGAATTAAGTGCGATTTTCTTTTTACAATTCAATGCACATTTCACCTACAAACTAATGGAGCAAACAAGACAGAACATACGAGGCAGACGGTACCCGAAAGGCAGACCACAATGACAAGAGCGAATCGATTCTTGAATCAAATTGGAGACCTCAAATCTTGTGAGTCCCTCGTGAATGGGGTCTCACGCCCAGGCTAACCAATCTCACGCCGCCCGCCCGGCCAACCACTCTCAGGCTTCAGCCAAGCCGCCGAGGTGCCCATTAAACCGCCACAAGTGGTTGCTCGGCGTGTCCGCTCATCGTTGTACATTACTGCTACGCTGCCGCGGGCAGCGCGAGATGAACAGCGTCGCCGCGCTCACCTGCGGTTCGGTCCGGGAGCGCTCGCGTCACAAGACACTTTTCCCGTGAGCAACTCCCATCGCTCGCACGCGTGGGTGGCCAGCACCTGGAGCCCGGGTAGACGAGCGTAACCAAGGAGCGTAACCAAGGAGCGTAACCAAGGAGCGTAACCAAGGAGCATAACCAGGAGCGTAATCAGGAACGTAACCATGGAGCGTAACCAAGGAGCATAACCAAGGAGCGTAACCAAGGAGCGTAACCAAGGAGCGTAACCAGGAGCGTAATCAGGAACGTAACCATGGAGCGTAACCAAGGAGCGTAACCAAGGAGTGTAACCAAGGAGCGTAACCAGGAGCGTAACCCAGAGCGTAACCAATGAGCGTAACCAAGGAGCGTAACAAGGAGCGTAACCAGGAACGTAACCATGGAGCGTAACCAAGGAGCGTAACCAAGGAGTGTAACAAGGAGCGTAACCAGGAACGTAACCATGGAGCGTAACCAAGGAGCGTAACCAAGGAGCGTAACCAAGGAGCGTAGCCAGGAACACAAACCTGTCAACCCCTTATCAGTGCTCTACCTTGTTACAGACCAATTCAGACCTTATTGGTCACCCTGTGCCCCTTATAAATCTCAACGTTCATCCTGTAAAGTCCCATCACCAGGGAGAAACACGAACAAATAGACACGGTTTTTTTGCGCATATTGAAACTGCTCTACGCCGTATGGACCTGAAAACTCAATTTCCCTGTACAAGAATACAGCTAAAGCGTATGGGTTGACAGGTGTGAGGAGCGTAACCAGGTGCATGACACAAGGCAGCTCCTTAGCTTTCGCCTCGTTTTACTACAGTAATAAATGTGCACGCGGCTGTACCGCGCGAGGAAGTTCCCGGCACGTGGAGCAAAACGTCGGACGTCGCGCCGAACAACGCGCGGTCCGTACGGTCCAACCGGAATGCGCAACCGGAGAGCCGTGCGTCACGACCGCGGCCGTCCCTGAGGCCTCTTCCACCGCTTCGCTGTGCCCTCAGCCCAAGCCGACGCGTGGCAAGATGCGCATCCACTGTCTGGAGAACGTGGACAAGGCGCTGCAGTTCCTCAAAGAGCAGAAGGTGCACCTGGAGAACATGGGCTCGCACGACATCGTCGATGGCAACCACCGCCTCATCCTGGGCCTCATCTGGACCATCATCCTGCGATTCCAGGTATCGGCATCGCTACCCAGCAACCAGTCAACGCAGGCCGAGTCTGTCTGGGCCAGCGACCCAAACAATAATTCCACATCCTACAACGCGCCACGTCTGCTATACAGCTCGCTCTGCTTGTGTTTGTGGGATGGTCAGGAACGCATCTCTCTTTGTTTCGGACCGATCCGAATGTTTGGTGCCGCAGCAAGCGACTTCACTTTCACGGCATCATCTCCCTGACCGTCCCAAAGTAACTCGCTTGTGCGGCGGGCTGACCTGTGACCCTCTTCGGATTAGGAGCGAGCGAGGTTTATCCACAGCACTTCGTGGATTAAAAAAATAATAACAAATATTGAGTTAAATTTAAAAGGTGAAAATGCAACCCACATCCCGCGCCATGGGGAATTGGTATCAGCAGTTGTGTTGCTAAAGTAATTATGTTGCAAGTGTTCTTACAAAGACGTAATTTTCACCAGATTACCTGACACAACATCTCCAGGTATTCCCAGCCGGCACACGGCACCCCCTCGCTACGTGGCAGAGTGGTTGTGTTGGAGCAACATCCACTGCACCGCTGCCAGGCCGGTGTGACAACGTGGCGTGCTCGCTGCCTCCGCGTCGTCTGGCGTGCGGGGTCTAGCAGGCTGCTGTGAATGTTGGTGGCAGTGTTGGTGGCATGTGTCATGAGTGTTGGAGCTGTGCAGGATTTGTGGGAAGTTGGCAAATTGCTTTTGAGTCTCCGAGTGGGCAATGCACTCTGGGAGGCTCGCGTGCCTTGTCAAGGATAGATGTTCGCTGCTTCGCTATGGGATTATTTGTTTAAAGCAGTTAAAATAAAGTCAAACTCATAAGTACACGAGGTATTTGTGCCATTACAGTCACGCAAAACGATCACAAAGGAGCTATGCATCTCCGACATAGACGGCAGTAATGAAGCACTGGAGGGTGATGTTGCTCTGGCTTGCCCAATTGAGTAATTTGCAGGAGTTTTTTCATTTTTGAATCTTGATATCTGCACACATAGCCTACCATAATTTTAATAAAGTAACAGGGTTTTTCAATGTCCACTGCGATGCAGACTTGCAGTGTCTCTCTCTATATTTTAGGAAGCATTGTATTCCCTTGTATTTAATGTGGCCGAGTTGGTGTCCTGTTAAGTGCCTCATCGTTCCGCTGCACAGATCCAGGACATCAGCGTGCAGACGGAGGACAGCAAGGAGACCCGCTCTGCCAAGGACGCGCTGCTGCTATGGTGCCAGATGAAGACGGCGGGGTGAGTGAGGAGGCCGCCTTCTCCCCTCCGGCCCCTGCGCGACATCATCTCCTCGTTGCTTGGTTGTTTTATTTATTTATTTTATCTTGATGCCATTGGGAGCATTTGTGTCGATGCTCATTGACGTTCGATGTTGTTTTCAGCTACCCCAATGTGAACGTCCACAACTTCACGACCAGCTGGAGGGACGGTCTGGCTTTCAACGCCGTCATCCACAAGCACCGGTAGGGCGCCCTCAGTGGCACGCGGCGTTTGGCGGCTCCATCGATACGCCACGGACAGCTTCCCTCATTTTCCCCCGTTTTGTTTGTTAGCACTCAGAGCAAATTGGCCATTGTAGAGACGTGAACGCACTTCCCTCGGATGTTTCCATTCGCGGGCTGCCCTCCCGAATCCATAGTTGTACTCCGCTTCTGTGTTCCCGCGTCTGTGCGTTGCCCCGCCCTCCCCAACCCGCACGGTCAGACAACCCCCACGAGCCGCACGTTGCGTGTGGATGGCCCTCATCCAGCGGTGGATTGAGATTGGGCTGTGCTTGTGTTGATGAATGGCCTCCATTGAGGCCGAGGCTTGGCTTGGGGCGCGGTGTAACCGGAGACGCCATTCAGCTGCGTGTCCTCGCTCCTCAGTAGGAACCATTCGCACCGAAATGTCCCCAAGCTGATCGCCGGGTAGATGGCAGAAAGGTGACAAGGGGCACAATGTGAGGAGGGTGACAAGCGGAGTATTTTTATCCCTGATAGTGCATTGTCTTTGTGCTGTTCGCTTTTTGGCGTTCTCTGGTTTCAATGACGATGCGTATATATTGAGAGCATATGTTTGCATGTTCACCACAGGTATGTGTGGTTAATGCAGACATAATTCCTTGCAAAAGGTTTATATTTTGTGTTTGAACATCTTAACGCCTGTTTTATTGCCAGAAAGGGTAAAACCTGTTCTTACTTTTTCATACTTTGATATTGGCAAGAAAGGTCCCATTTTACTTTTATCCCCTCCGTGCAATGAAAGATTGTCACACAAACCCGTCCTGCGGCACGGTTTGTAACGTTTGATTGTGAAACCTTCCCACCCCAGCCCCCCCAGCCCCCCCCCAACCCTCCCAACCCCCCCCAACCCCCCCAACCCCCCTAACCCCCCTAACCCCCCTAACCCCCCTCCGCCCTCCCCCACACACGATGATCGTCCAAGATGTCAGTGCCTTCATACGCGGCGTGATCCATTGATGCGCCATTCATTTCTAATGACCCTCTGACTCTCTTCTCAACAGGGCATTAAACACTGTGTTGGGAAAACCCACGGCACCGCATCTTGTTCAGGGGTTTTACCTCTTCAGGGTTTTATTTCGTTTCATTCGTCAAGGATTCGTTAAGGGTTGGGTTTATTTCCTGTTGAGCGCTGTGAGGCGTGAATGGCGCTGCGTGAAATAAAGAGCTGTAGTTCGGAGCGCCGTGGCCGGAGCTGTCTGTGATGATCGCTCGTGTCGATCGGCCGCCCCTACGCTGACGACCGCGCTCATGAGTGCCATCGGCGACAGTCTGCCGAGCTTGCGACCATAACGACCACGACGCTGCTGCCGCCCTCGCCCCGCAGGCCGGACCTGGTGGACTTCGAGAAGCTGAAGAAGTCGAACGCGCAGCACAACCTGCAGCACGCGTTCAACGCGGCCGAGCAGCACCTGGGGGTCACCAAACTGCTCGACCCCGAAGGTGAGGAGGAGCGCGGTTGAAGGATGCGTTCAGGATGTCCGGGTCTGATGATCGGACTGATGGCGATATGGATTGAGATGTCACCTGGTTGAGCTCGGGTCGCTGTACGTTGAACTTCTTTTGCGCCGTACGTAGCCGACCGTGCTAATCGACACTGGCCTGTGTCGGATCATCTAATTGGATAAGAAGGCGTTGCTGTGTGTCTGCGATGGGAGAAATCCGTCCGTGTTTACGTTTGCGCGCGAACGTTTTCGGCGGCAGATGTGAGCGTGGACCAGCCGGACGAGAAGTCCATCATCACCTACGTGGTCTCCTTCTACCACTACTTCTCCAAGATGAAGGCCCTGGCCGTCGAGGGCAAGCGCATCGGGAAGGTGAGGAGACCTCCCCGCGTCCCTCCGCTCCGCTGCACGACCGAGCTTGCTCGGCGCCGACTCGGGTGGCACCGAGTCGTTTTTCCACTGCAGAACCGGAACACCTAATGCCGTGAGCATCGTTAGCCTCAACCCCCGGCCCCGCTTGAAGCCAGTGAATCGTGAGGGTCCCGTGCTGGCTCGTCCCGGCTGTGCCAGCAGAAAAGGGGAATTGTTTGTAGTTAAGTCGGAGCAGCACGGTGACCGCGCGCACCTCTCGGAGCAACCGACGTCCCTGATAGCGGGGACGCCCCGGGAGACGATCGCGGAGGTCGAGCGTCGTCTTGTCGCGTTGGCCGTGGCGCGCAGGTGCTGGACAGCGCCATCGAGGCGGACCGCATGGTGGAGCGCTACGAGTCGCTGGCCTCAGAGCTCCTCGAGTGGATCGGCCGCACCATCACGGCGCTCAACAGCCGCGACTTCCCCAACTCACTCGTGGGCGTGCAGCAGCAGCTGCACGCCTTCAGCAGCTACCGCACCGTCGAGAAACCGCCCAAGTGAGAGTCGCACGTGTGCACGTGCACACACGCACACAAATAGGAGAATAGACACACGCAAGCCAGCGTACATAAAGACCCCCCAGAGAAGCCTGTAAAACAGACTGTTGGGGCAAGTGCTGTTAGCGAGCAGCACCTATGAAGGCCGCCACGGCACACGAGGGGGTGGGTGGCCAAAAAATCGCCCGGCTGCCTTTGTCTCTCCAGTGGCGATGTTTAGACACTGCGCCAGGTACTTATTTGGCCCAGGACTGGTTCAGATAATCGTCACTGGTGTTGGCTGTGAGCGGGAATCGAACTCGGGTCGTCGGGTTCGTAGCGCAGCATAGCGCTAACCACTACACTACTGCTTCCCCAGCGTACACACACACACGCTCACAGACGTACGCGTATGGCAGCCATTGTATGTATACACACAACGCTGGACGGGAGGTGATGCGAATTCATCGGCATCATCATCATCGGCCGCGCCGTGCTCCACGTGACTTGCAGGGGGTTTCCCGCCTTCACGGGGCGGGACTGCACCATTCACATTTGCCGGAGACGGCGACGGATCTGCTGGAACGTTTCGGGAGTTGTTTTGTGACCGCGCGTGCCCCTCTCTCCAGGTTCACGGAGAAAGGAAACCTGGAGGTTCTGCTCTTCACCATCCAGAGCAAGATGAGGGCCAACAACCAGAAGGTGTACACGCCGCGCGAGGGGAAGCTCGTGGCGGAGATCAACAGGGTATGTGCGTGTGGACGTGTAAGCATGTTGATGGGGTGAGGGGAGCGCCTCCTTCGCAACCGCAGAAGGAGACGGTGAACTCGGACCTCTCTTGCACGCGCGCGCGCTGACTCGGCACGTTTGAAACCGATACAAAACACGAGCGACTCCGCATTGGCAGTGGCGCACACAAGCACAGATCGCAACATTGAAGGCATTCGTCTGTAACGTTGCCCTGTAAAGGAACGATGTTTAACAGGCGACGTTGCAGAAACACCGGGCCTTCTGCTTTCACATCGTGGATCCAGCTTTTATGCGACGAGCCCCGGTTTCCCCAGCTCCTTGTGATTAAATGAAGACGCTCGCGACCAATCGGCGTGCTATGAGAAACGTCTTTTCCACTGATTTTTGGAAGAAATGGCCGCATTTATGGATGGATTCGCTGATTTTCTCCGAATTTAGCGAAAGTGGTCGTTATCATTGAACCAACGTGACTTTTGCCGGATCTACGCGCGACCGCACCTCAAATCGTGGCCTTGTTTTAGCGAGAAAAAGCAGTCGGCCAGAGGCGGGGGATACACATGAAGGTTTTTAACTTGGATATGAACAGGGGTAGGGAATTAGCAGCATTGATGGACAGTGGAACGGAGTTCTAGACTATTGAGCGACCTCCAACTAAAGCAAAAGTTTGACTGGGGAGCTTTCATTGCTGGAGCAGAGAGTTCCCTGGAGAGGGGGGCGTGTGGGGTGGTAGAGTTGGATGAGAAGGGAGAGGCAGGCATGGGCTCACTAACAGCACTTGCGCTCACGGTCTGTACGGCCACACGCGGGGTGGGAACTCGGCCACTGTGCGTGTGTGCGCGTGCGTGAACGTGTGCGTGTGTGAACGTGCGTGTGTGTGAACGTGCGCGTGTGTGTGTCCGCGTGTGTGTGTGTGCGCGTGTGTGTGTGCGTGTGTGTGCGCGCGTGTGCGTGGGTGTGCGTGCGTGTGTGTGCGCGCGTGTGCGTGTGTGCGCCGCTCGCAGGCCTGGGAGCGGCTGGAGAAGGCGGAGCACGGGCGCGAGCTGGCGCTGCGTGACGAGCTCATCCGCCAGGAGAAACTGGAGCAGCTGGCGCGCCGCTTCGACCGCAAGGCGGCGATGCGCGAGACCTGGCTGGCGGAGAACCAGCGGCTCGTCATGCAGGCAAGGCCACCCACCCCCCCCCCCCCCCCCATTCACAGGCCCCAAGGCCCAGCAGCACACCGAGCGGCCAGCAGCTGACAGCGCATCGCTACGATGAGAGTCAACGCGTGTCTTGAATTGAGCAGGGTTTTGGGAGTTTACGACCTTGCCATCCACGAAGACGTTTGTGATGCAATAGTTGGTACATTACATGTCAACTTGTTTGATCTTTGTGTTATTTAGTATGGGCGCACGTTTCGTATGTGTATGTTGAACTTCTTTCGCAGCGTACGTAGCCAACCGTGCTTGTCGGAGATGTGGAGGGACAACAAAACTAAACACTAAAAGCAGTTCTAAAGAAATGAGTTTTAAATCTAGATGATTTAAAAGTGGACAGCTCCAGTGGCTTCCTAACATCGGAAGGAAGAGCGTTCCAGACGGCCGCAGAAGCGCATCTGAAAGCACGCGATGCGGTGACCACCGTTTTTGTTCGGAAACCACCGCAAGGATGACCGGAGTTCGGGCGAACCAACGAGAGGGACGGAGAGAGGCCAACTCGTGGCTCATTATTACGAACCGGCGATCGCTACCCGCCCGTCAATTCCGCGCCATCTGACCGCGCCATCGCGATGCGATGCCCGTCGCGTGACCTCTCGCGTCGCCCGCCCACTCCCCCGCGCAGGACAACTTCGGCGCGGACCTGGCGGCGGTGGAGGCGGCCACGAAGAAGCACGAGGCGATCGAGACGGACATGGCGGCGTACGAGGGGCGCGTGCGCGCCGTGGAGGGCGTGGCGCGCGAGCTGGAGGCAGAGCGCTACCACGAGGTGGCGCGCGTGGTGCGGCGCCGCGACGGGGTGCTGCAGCTGTGGCGCCGCCTGCAGGAGCTGCTGGCGGCGCGGCGTACGCGCCTGGAGATGACGCTGGCGCTGCAGCGAGCCTTCCACGAGATGCTCTACACCGGCGCCTGGATGGACGAGATGAAGGTCGGTGTGCGTGTCTGAAGTATGGGGAGCGGCAGTGGAGCGGTTAGCAGTTCGATTCCTGCTCACGGTCATCATCGGTGACGATTATCTGAACCGGTCCTAGGCTTCCCTTTGGTTGACTCAGCCTCAAATAAGTACCTGGTATAGTATGTCATCATCGCCACTGGGAAGACAAACGTGGTCGGGTGTGGTGCTTGCCACCCACCCTCTCGTGTACCGTTCCGGCCTTCATAGGTGCTCGCTAACAGCACTTTCCCCAAGAGTCTGTTAAGGCTACACGTGGGAGGGATCTTTGTCTTTTTAGTTTTTGTGTGTGAAGTGAAATGTTTTGTCCCCTTCCTCGGTTGCGTTCCGACCGTTTTCCCGGCGTCATCTCGACAGACTAAAGATCCCTGGGATCGAACCCGGGCGGCTGCTCGTGGTTAAACCACGCTCTCGAGTGCCGTGAGTCGATGGCCTGAACCCAGAAACCAGACCCACAGTACGGCAATTGTTTTGTTTTCTAAATTATTGCTCTGAGAATGAAAAAATATAACTTTGAGTGTCGTGCAGTGAAGATTGCTCACTGTAACAAGACTGGTGGGAAAGTGCCGCCCCCTCGCGTGTGAGTCAGAGGTCACTTGAAGGGATCTCAGACACTGAGGATGCACTGCTCTGCGATGCTGCTGTTATTATGACTACTACCAATAGGGTTTGTTTCACCAGAAAAGCCTCACCGAGTCTCCTTCAGCGGGCTCCTGCTCTTTGTCCCTTGTCACGGTTACCGTTGGCGCGATTGGGATGACGTTGGGGAATCGCATGACACGGCGCGGAGAAGCAACTCGCGTGTGCGCGTCATTGAGAGGGCGCGCGTGACTCTGGTGCGTGCGGCGCGGCGTGCAGCTGCGCCTGCTGTCGCAGGAGTGTGGGAAGCACCTGCTGGGCGTGGAGGACCTCCTGCAGAAGCACGCCCTCGTGGAGGCCGACGTGGCCGCGCAGGCCGACCGCGTGAAGGCCGTCAACGCGGCCGCCCTGCGGTTCGCCGAGGAGGTGGACGGTGCGTACCCACACGCGCGTTAACCCGCAAATGCGCGCGTACCCGCGTGTACGTACCCACAGGAGCGCTCGTCCAGGCCGCAACCGGTGGCACTACGTGTTCGCTGGCGGTACAATAGCAGAGACACACAATTACTTCGTGAATGAGAATCTGTATTTCTACTGGAGGAAACCGATGAGCTACAAAACTTTTTTTCAATAGATGTCTAGTAGCAGCGGGTCAGAACGTTACAACAATAAACAATACAAAAAGATGATATGAGTGCAAAGTTTAGGAAAGGTAAACAAATCACTTAAAAAAAATAAAAAATGACCTTTTTTTATCTTATCAGGTAAAGCCCACTCAGCTATTATCTTATTTTTCAGAAGCAATCTGCCCTACAAATGATAGCACAGCAGAGTGGCTTATCACGTGGTTTCAAAGTGGCAAAGAATAAGGGAGGGCTCATTAATAATGATGTAGCCACGAGGTCTCCTACCCGGGCAGACCACCAAGCGTGGTAAAGAAATACATTCGTACAACCTCCAGGAATGACACAGCGTGGGGAGTCCTTCTCCATCCAGCAGCGGATCGACGAAGCGTTATACTCTCCCTTATTAACGACACGCACCCGAGTCGTTAGCGTGCTTCTCATTAAAATAATGGTCACGTGAACGAATCCCGTCCCCTCGCAGTCGAGGCCGTTGCGATTAAAACAGAAGGACAAAAGTTAAAATCCTCCTCGGGTGTCGGCTCAGCCCATCACCTCTCAAACGAATGCGACGGGCAGCACCTCGCGTGAAGTTGACGGTGGCTGTGCGACGGGTGGATTTGCGGTTCCCAGGCTACAGGCCGTGCGACCCCGAGGTGGCGAGCGAGCGAGCGGGGCAGCTGGAGGCGTCCTACGCGGAGCTGTGCGCGCTGTGCGCGGCACGGCGCGCCCGCCTCGAGGAGGCTCGCGCCCTGCACCTCTTCCTGTGGGAGGCCGAGGAGGTGGAGGCCTGGGTGCGGCAGGTGGAGCCCCTCCTCGCCAGCGAGGACGCCGGCCACGACCTCGCGGCCGTGCTGCGCCTGCTCGCTCGGCACCGCGCATTCGAGGTGAGGACGCTCTGAGGGGGGGTGCGCGAGTCGGAGTCGGAGCCAGTCGTGATGTTGCTGATGAGTTTCGTGTTTGATTCTCGACGTGGTTTATAGATGCTCACAGTTTTCCGCTACGTTACAAATGTTGGGTTCCTCATCGCGATGCTTTCTCATATTTGGATCTTCTCTGGGTACTTAGGTTTGCTCCCACTTACTATCGTGTATTTGTGTATATTTGCAAAAAAAATACATGAACATGGTTATCATCTGCATCTTACCTAAAATTAACTCTTACATGAATTAATTTCCCCGTTCACTCCTTTTGCAATCCTGTCTCCCCGCACCTCTCCCTCCGGTCCCTCTCCCCGCCCCTTGCCGCGTGCCCCCTGGCTCCGCCACGGGCAGGACGAGCTGAGCGGCCGCCGGGCCCAGCTGCAGCAGACGCTGCGCCTGGGCGAGGCGGCCGCGGCGGCGTTGGCGCCCCGCCTGGCCGACGCCGCCGCCTCCGAGGAGGAGAAGCGCGAGGCGGAGCGCGACGCGCAGGCGGCCCGCGCTCGCTCCGCCGAGCTCGACAAGCTGTGGGCCTCGCTGGAGCTGGCGGCGTCGCGCAGAGCCGAGCGCCTGCGGGCCTCCGAGGCGCTGCACCAGCTGCTGTCGGACTCGGCCGACGTCGAGGCCTGGGCCCGGGATGCGTCGCTGCTGGTGGCGGCCGGCGGGGACGTGGGCAACGACGAGTTCTCCACGCAGGCGCTCGCGCGCAAGCACCGCGACGTCGTGGAGGAGATCGAGGGATACAGGTGCGGCGACGGCGGCGCGCCGGCGGGCCGCCCCGATTCGAAACGCGATCGTCCGCGCCGGGCGGCGCGAGCGCGACTGACGGGGCCGCGTTTGTCCCGCGCAGGCCGGTGATCGACTCGCTGCAGGAGCAGGCGGCGGCGCTGCCCGCGAGCCTCGCGGAGCCGGCCGGCGTGCGGGAGCAGCTGCGGCGCCTGGAGGAGGCGTACGGCGAGCTGGCGGCGCTGGCCGCCGAGCGCGGCCGCCGCCTGCAGGACGCGCTGGCGCTCTACACCATCCACAGCGAGACGGCCGCCTGCCTGCTCTGGCTCGACGAGAAGAGCCAGTGGCTCGACGCTCTCGACATTCCCGAGAAGCTGGAGGACCTGGAGGTCGTCCAGCACCGGTGAGACCATCGCGGCCTATGGGGATCTTGGCTCTATAAAGTAAATTTAATTAATGAATTATCGTTGTAAAATGAGTGGGATTTTAATACGTCCTCTTTACCCTGAATTTTATAGAAATAGTGGGGGGTGAATGCGATAATCCGGTCGCTGTGTGTGTGAGATTTGCAACTTTATTGACACTGGGCACAAGTTTTAGGGTGCGTCTTCCTTTCCGGAGCATTTTCAGGCACTGCTGGCAACCTGGGTGGGGGATTTATCTGCCCGTGATTAAACTGGGCTCGCAATTGGGAGTGAGTTGGTCGTCTCAGCCTACTCACAATGTGTACTAGTTTTTATTTTGGACTTTATTTGACCACATTTCTACTCTGAGAATTACAAATATTGGTTGGACCGTCGTACTGCAAACACTGCTCTGCAGCAGGGTGGTTTTAAAAGTGCTGCTGCTAAGTGGTGGATAAGAGGTGGACGGCTCTCTTAACGTGGGAAAAAGGCTGCTCTGCTGGAAACTTTGTTTCTCGTCTTCCTGCAAATTCGGACGGCGTTGGGGCAAACGGCAAAGCGGCACAGCTTACGCTCAATCCCACATTGTGCTCACCTGCAGGTTTGAGAGCCTGGAGCCCGAGATGAACGGCCTGGCGTCGCGCGTCGCCGTGGTCAATCAGCTGGCCCGGCAGCTGCTGGGGTCGGAGCACGCCAGCGAGGACGACATCAAGGCCAAGCAGGACCTCCTGAACGCCAGGTGACGTCGCACCCCCCACGTGCGCCGAGAGGAACGTGTCGGCGATGGGGTTTGGCCTACCCGAGGCTGCCCTGGGACTCGTTGGAGCCGGGCCCCGGTGGCTCCCACGCCGCGACGCGGTGCCGCTCCCTCCTGCTGTGTCTCCCGCGTTTCCCTTCCCCCGAACGCCGATCGCATCTTGTGGTCGCTCGGTTGATAGATCGACTTCATCGACAAATCGTCCCGCAGGTGGAGCGAGTTCCGGGAGCTGGCGGAGAGCAAGAAGGAGGCGCTGCAGGCGCAGCTGACGCTGCAGAGCTTCCAGCTGGAGTGCCACGAGACACAGGCGTGGATCCGCGAGAAGACGCGTCTCATCGAGTCCACGCAGGGCCTGGGCAACGACCTGGCCGGTGTCATGGCGCTGCAGCGAAAGCTGTCCGGCATGGAGCGAGACCTGGCTGCCATAGAGGCACGTACACTACACACACACACCCTACACACACACCCCCCACACACACCTCCCCCTACACACACCCACTACACACACCCTAAACACACACACACTACACACCCTCTACACACACGCCCTACACACACCCCCCTACACACACCCCCTACACACACACACACATTCTACACTCATATCCTACACTCGTACCCTACACACAAACACCCTACACGCACTCACCCTACACACCATACACACATGTTCAACGCAATTAAAGATACGTAAAGATCTGTTTGTTTATACATTTATTCTCCATTTAAATAGGCATTAGACATGTAACACATGCAGCTCTTGAAGATGTATTTTTAAAACAGTTAATATAATTTGTATTACTTTTTATAAAACTTCAGTACTTCGCATTTCCATAAACATAACAAATGAACACACATCACTCGTGACAAATTTTTTTTATTGCTTACTGCGTCCCCCGCTCCGTGCACTGCAGGTGAAGGTGGGGGACCTGCAGGGCGAGGCGGAGCGGCTGGCGCAGCACCACCCGGAACGCGCCGGCGCCGTGCGTGGCCAGCTGGCCGACACGGCGGACGTGTGGGGCGCCCTGCGCGGCACGCTGCGCGCACGCGAGGACTCCCTCGGCGAGGCCTCCAAGCTGCAGAAGTTCCTGCAGGACGTCGACGACTTCCAGGTCGGGTCCTGACCGCGGCCGGGGCGGCCGCTGGATTAGGCCGACTATTCCGCCGTTCGGCCGTTACCGGCTACTCCGGTCGATTGCGTGGGGCGTGACGGTGACCGCCCCGAACGCCCCACCTCCCGAAGGCAGGAAACCCTCTCAAGCCACGCCCCACGTTGTCGAGGCTGATACGGCTGGTCCGGGTCACGAACCCCTCGCATGTCACCGACAAATGTCTTCCTTCGCGTCGTTCGTGCACCAGTTCCCAGAGCTCGTATCGCGCACTGCTTGAGAAAGCCTCCGGACGGTGGCTGCATTCCACCGCTGTGTGATGTGCACGCCGCATCGTGCATCGCTTAGCAACGGCTCGGTGACGGCGAGGCGTATACGTTTATCGGCTTTGAGGTCAAATGACGTCCGCTTTGGCATTTGAAGGCGGCTTTAAGTTGAAAGCGGCGGTGACTTCAAATGAATGCGGCGTGGAGCGGCTTGCGGCGTCGCGTGCGGCAGAGCTGGCGGCGTCTCCCTCCGACGTCACGGCCGCCGCACACTGCACGGCCGTTGTTCAGGATGGCGTCGGCGCGGCCGCGAGAATCGGAAGAAGTAACAAGGAGCCCCTTGACGGCGGCGAGGAATTTACTGGAAGGTCGTAGTGAGGGGCGCACGTGGGGAGATTTGTGGTGGCATTTTGGTCTCTCTAGAAAGAGGCAGGGGATGAGGTCGGCTCGTGTCCGGGCGCTACGCCGATTCACAACATCGTCGCGGCACTGTTGGGTATGGTGACGGCTTGGGGTGCTCCTCATTCAGCAGTAGATAGATCTTGCCTGGTGATTCTGATGATTTGGTGCACAGTTTAGGAAGTGACACAAGTAATTATGCCAAGCAAAGCAAACTATTACAAAAAAAACAAACTCGTATGTACAACGGTAGACGCGTGTACAGTATGAGGCCGAACAGAGATTGCATTGTGTGCATCATTTGGTCAACACATGTTAACAAGTGACAATAATTATATTGACCTCATTCATTCCTGAAATGGCATTGACTAAGTTACAAATGTTTTATACAACAGCCATGAAATGAGGCCTCACGGTTGGTATTTTGACGGTAATGTTTACCGTATTCTCCGGATTATCCACTTTTTCTCCGTGTGTTTTAAAGCAAGAGCTGGGATTTTGTCTGATTAACCAGTCGGTGTGCATGAGACCAGAGTTGTCTATCTTTATTGACACCGTGTACAAGTCAACAACTTTATTGCCCCCAGGCCACTTCCACCGTGATTATGGCGATCTCACCGCTTTGAGAGACACTTTAATTTTCCAGCGTCCCCTCTATATATTTTTTTTTTATGTTTTACACCCTTGGCTTCCACTTGCCCGGTACATCGTGGGTTCCAGAATCATTATTGTTCATTTTAAAAATGACCACTAAGTTTGGGGCGCGTTTTGCTTTCCGGAGTTCCTTACAATCCACAGAATACGGTGAATTCTTGGCTCCAGAAATCATAAATGCGTGTGGCAGTTTAAACAGCAAGCGCGTTTGTTACAGTCCTCCTCTACATCTTGTCCACCCGGCAGAACAAACGCGTACACCACAGCCGGTCGATCGTCAGATTTTGTGTGGTGGGTCACAGTGTGGGTTACTCCGACCTCGTTAAAGACATCTGGCTCGTGTGGAAGAGTAGGCAACAATACCCTGCGTAGATGGGCTCTAGAGCTCCCTCAAGCGGAGGCCCTTCCGCCAGCAGTGGCGTGAGCAAGACATTGCAGGGCCGCGCCTTTGCCTTCCTGAGCTCTGCACCACAGGGAATGGAGGCTGCGTCGCACCTTGTGTGTGCGTGAGTCTGCTGAGCGGCGCGCGTCTTCTCCGGGTGCAGGCTTGGCTCTCCAAAACCCAGAAGGCCGTGGCGTCGGAGGACGTTCCCAGCACCCTCCCCGAGGCTGAGAAACTCCTGGCGCAGCACGAAGCGATCAAGGTGGGGCCTCGCACCTCCGTCCACTCACAGGGACCACCATCTCCTCACGGCCCCTGTTCCGAGCGCCGCTCCTCGTAGCCAAAACAAAAGTGTCTCACTGCTGATGGAGTGCCTTTTTGGTACCTTGTACTGAGATGTTGAGAATGTAATAGGATTACATTTTTAAGTGAAATTACTTTAGGAATAAAGATTCGTTGGGACATTGCCGAATGCTGCATTTTATTTATAAAAAGGGAATGTTTTTTATCATTTAAATGTTCTAAAGTGTAATTTCTAGACAATTTTACTATGAATTACATCCTACTTTACGATAGATGCTTCAATTCGTCAGAGAAATCTGTTGCTTTAAATAAATTATAGATGCTCAGGATACAAAAGATATAGCGGCGGTAGAATGACCTGGAAGCAGCAACGACGATCCCACCATAGAGAGGATCTCACCAGCGACGATCATACCGTAGAGAGGATCTCACCAGCGACGATCCCACCATAGAGAGGATCTCACCAGCGACGATCCCACCATAGAGAGGATCTCACCAGCGACGATCCCACCATAGAGAGGATCTCACCAGCGACGATCCCACCATAGAGAGAATCTCACCAGCGACGATCCCACCGTAGAGATGATCTCACCAGCGACGATCCCACCATAGAGAGGATCTCACCAGCGACGATCCCACCGTAGAGAGGATCTCACCAGTGACGATCCCACCGTAGAGAGGATCTCACCAGCGACGATCCCACCATAGAGAGGATCTCACCAGCGACGATCCCACCATAGAGAGGATCTCACCAGCGACGATCCCACCATAGAGAGGATCTCACCAGCGACGATCCCACCATAGAGAGAATCTCACCAGCGACGATCCCACCGTAGAGATGATCTCACCAGCGACGATCCCACCATAGAGAGGATCTCACCAGCGACGATCCCACCATAGAGAGGATCTCACCAGCGACGATCCCACCGTAGAGAGGATCTCACCAGCGACGATCCCACCGTAGAGAGGATCTCACCAGTGACGATCCCACCGTAGAGAGGATCTCACCAGCGACGATCCCACCGTAGAGAGGATCTCACCAGTGACGATCCCACCGTAGAGAGGATCTCACCAGTGACGATCCCACCGTAGAGAGGATCTCACCAGTGACGATCCCACCGTAGAGAGGATCTCACCAGCGACGATCCCACCGTAGAGAGGATCTCACCAGCGACGATCCCACCGTAGAGAGGATCTCACCAGTGACGATCCCACCGTAGAGAGGATCTCACCAGTGACGATCCCACCGTAGAGAGGATCTCACCAGCGACAATCCCACCGTAGAGAGGATCTCACCAGCGATGCCGACTGTCACCTTTCTGTCCACAGAACGAGATCAGCAACTACAGCGAGGATCACCGGCGCATGCGGGAGATGGGCGAGGAGGTGACGCGCGACCAGAGCGACCCGCAGCACGTGTTCCTGCGCCAGCGGCTGCAGGCCCTGCACACGGGCTGGGCCGAGCTGCACAGCATGTGGGACAACCGGCGCGCGCTGCTGGCCGCGTGCCACGCGTACCTCGCCTTCGCACGCGACGCTCGCCAGGCTGACGGCGTTCTTAGCAACCAGGTTCGTGCCCTCTCCCCTCTCTCTCGCGCGACGCGGCCAGGAGCTCTATGCCAATATCGAGGTCTGCTGGCCAGAGAGGGCTTCAGCAGAGAGAGAGAGTTCGTGTCGTGTCTCTGTTCCTCCTCCTCCGTTGAAGGAGCGCAGACCACAGCACGGTCGGGCAGGAGACGGTGGCCTCCTCACGGTGGCTCCACCCGTTACTCACTCGCGCATTACCGCAAACACCCGTTACTCATTCGCGCATTACCGCAAACACAACCGATACCGTCATGGAGGCGGAGTGGACGTGCGTGCGTGATGTCGAGGACTAACGACGCGTGGAGGCATGCCGCTCGCGAGCGGCGGTGGTGGCATCGCACGGCGCCCATCGTGCCTCGCGCCGCTTGTTACCACCGCGCCGCTTGAATAGTGCTCCCAGCACTCGTCCCTCTGTTTCCAACCAGCATGCATGTTTCCTGTTTGGATGGGTATTCTGATCATTGTTAGTAAGTGTTGGATTTGAAGTTTGTGATGTCCCAGGCAATTTTCCGGCTGCTGGAGAGAGGGAGCGTCTCCCTGTCCGACTCTTCGAATCTGCGCTTTGTTCCTTTCTTGTAGCTGCCACTTGGGGTACCCCTGTGCCTTTAGAGATGCACCAGCCGTAGAAGTTAAACTGGGGAACTCGACGGCTGCTCCCTGCGCGTTTGTTCCGTTGGACGCTGGGCTCACTTGCGGCGGTGCCGGCTCTGGCCGCGCGCATTTCCCCCTCTCCCGCAGGAATACGCGCTGAGCCGCGTGGAGATGCCGGCGACGCTGCAGTCCGCCGAGGCAGCCATCAAGAAGCACGAGGAGCTGACCACCAGCATGGAGGCCAATGACGAGAAGGTCGGCAGCGTGCTGGACACGGGGAGGAAGCTGGTCGGCGAGGGGAACTTCAACGCCGACAAGATCCAAGAGAAGATGGATTCCATCAGCGAGAGGCGAGTGGCCTCGCCTCGGCGAGGGCTTTGTCGTTGTTCACGCCGAGGCCGGGACTCTTGAGGCGTTCCAGGAGTCGTCTCGCCTTTCGTTTCTCAGTCCGTCTTTGCAAAAAGAGAAAATTCGTTTGTTTTGAGTGGCAGTGCGTCGGATGTACGTACGTATGTTGGACCTCTTTTGCACCGTACGTAGCCAACCGTGCTAGTCAGAGGTGCGGATGACATTAGCGCTGCCTTCTTTGTGAAACTAAATAAATGTTTGTGGATTTTGAGCCACGCGAAGTCCCCGGTGCTTCTGCTGCCACTTGGAGTGGAAGCTCCACACTTCGTCGCATGGCCGACAGCTGCTGCCGAGCGTTGGCAGCAGCCAGGGCCTTCGCCTGCGCTGATGCTCCATGTTGAGGTGTTTGATGCCGCACGGGGCTCGTTTAAAGCGCAGCAACGGTGCTGTCACAGTGATCGTGCCCGATCGTGCAGCTTATGATTATGCGGCTCGTGTTACTGGAAGTAACGCGTGTTGGTTACGATGACAATGGTGACGATGGTGACGATGGTGACGTTGGTGACAATGGTGACGATGGTGATGTTGTGTAGGCGTGAGAAGAACCAGGCAGCAGCAGCAGACCTCCTGGGCCGTTTGAGGGACAACCGGGACCTACAGAAGTTCTTGCAAGATTGCCAGGAGGTCAGTCAACGGATCTTTCCCGTTCATTCGAGGGACTGACGTCGAGTTGTAACTGGGCGGTACGCCGCCTCCTTTGCATGTCGACCTGTCCCTCCCCCTGTCTCCTCTCTCCTCCACCTGCACATCCCTCCTGTTTTAGTTCATTGAGAATCTTCGTGGTCAATTTGTGCACAAATTTGTGAACATTTCCACCTCTAACATTCGTTTGCACAACATGGAACTTCAAAACTGAGGCCAGAAATCTATATATGTGTCGTAGTTAACGATTCGCGCTTCGTTGCAACAACACAATCACAAGACTCGACCTCTCCACCTTAACGCGCAACATTTGCTCCTTCCAGCCTGATTTCCGTAGACCGTTCGATCGTTCCAGTTTTAACTCGGCACCCTTTGCCATCGCCTCACCGACCGGAGGGCCGTGAATGACGCCGCCTTCTCGGTGCCTTGCAGCTGAGCCTGTGGATGAACGAGAAGATGCTGACGGCGCAGGACATGTCGTACGACGAGGCCAGGAACCTCCACTCCAAGTGGCAGAAGCACCAGGCCTTCATGGCGGAGCTGGCCTCCAACAAAGAGTGGCTGGACAAGATCAAGAAGGTGTGCGTGCTTCTCTGGAACGTGCTGCTCTGGAATGTTCTGGAACGTGTTGTTCTGGAATGTACGCTGAGATCTGATGAAATTTGGCACATTCAGGGTGATTTGGTTTAAGTAATGTTGAATCAACAACTCGCTTCATGATGCAAACCGGCGCGCGTTCCATGTGGCACGGCAGGAGGGGGAGCAACTGATCCGGGACAAGCCGGAGACAGAGGGCATCGTGCAGGAGAAGCTCTCGGAGCTGGGCACCGTGTGGGACCGCCTGGAGAGCACCACGCAGCTCAAGGCCCAGCGGCTCTTCGACGCGAACCGCGCCGAGCTCTTCACGCAGAGCTGCGCCGACATCAACATGTGGCTCGCCGAGCTGGAGACACAGATCACGTCCGAGGACCACGGCAGCGACCTCACCAGCGTCAACATCCTGCTCAAGAAGCAGCAGGTGGGCGTGACCATGGAATCACAGACGTCCGAGCTCGCGGGGAAGGGATCGCCACCGCTGAGCTGTGTTTCTGAAACGCGACGCTCCACCAGCAGCATCAGGCATAAGTGCAGATACACTGCAGGCTTCTTAAATCACAGGCTCGTGGGCCTGTACTTACTCCTCTCTCAGTATGGACCCTCACCTGGTAGCACTTTAATAATAATACGAATCATGCACAGCCCTTCGTTACGCCATTGTTTGATGAAGGCCCTTCCACGTCACGTCAGTTGTGGGGGTTGTTTGACCATACTTGACCACGCTGGTCAGTGTGGGTTTGTGAAGGTTGTGGGGGGGGGGGTGGTGACCAGGGACGGGTGGGATTTCCCTTCGCCTGCTGGGTTCTGAGCGCAGTGCACGCTAACCGCCCCGCCTCTACGCCCCTGATACCGATCTGCGTGGTCGCAAACAGCCGTACGACGAGCGACGATTCGCCACCCCCCTCGCGGTGTGCCGTAACGTGTCCTCAACGCTCCTAAACCCTCCCGCCGCGTGCCGCCCCAGCTGCTGGAGAAGCAGATGGAGGTGCGCGAGAAGGAGGTGCGCGAGCTGCAGGACCAGGTGCTCGTGCTGCGGCAGGAGCAGCGCAAGGAGGGTGCGGGGGGCCCGGGGGAGGGCGGGGAGGAGGAGGTGGACGGCATGCGCGCCAGCGTGGAGGGCCGCTTCAAGCAGGTGACGCAGCCGCTGGAGGAGCGCCGCCTCAAGCTGCTGGCGTCCAAGGAGGTTCACCAGTTCACCCGCGACCTCGAGGACGAGATCGTGAGTCGCGCGGCCAAGCGACCCTCACCGCGAGCCCCGGCACGGTCGATCCGAACCACCGTGCGGCCAACCCCATCCCGAACCGTAACCCTGGCTAACCACGTGGCCCCTCCTACCCTTGGCACGGTCGACCCCAACCCCCACCCGGCACAGCGCCACGCTTGACCCTCCGCACTCGTCGCGCCCCCTCCATCGCCATCTCTGTCGCGATCGCTCCGACCCCTCGGCGCGCCAGCGAGGGCGACGGAAGGCGAGGGGAGCCGTGCCCGCTGGTGAACGCGGGGGGTCTGACACCAATTAGCGTGCGTGTCGTTGCGTGTGTCTTACGTGTCACGTGTCGTGTGTCATGTGTCGCCCGCAGCTCTGGGTGGAGGAGCGGCTGCCTCTGGCCACGTCCACGGATCACGGCAACAGCCTGCAGTCGGTGCAGCTGCTCGTCCAGAAGAACCAGGTGAAGAGTCGCATCGTCACCCGTGCCGGAGATGGCACGGCCGGCGGCCCGGAACACTTTGCGTTGACACTCCCACACCGGGGCTGCTGCGACACGCAGCTTCTAAAGGGTGAACGTTCAAGGGTTGCCGTGAACAATATTCTTCTAGGAACAAACCTTATCATATGATAATGGTGATATGATAATGTTCAGTGCCTTGTCAATGCACTGTTGCACGAGGACCTCCCCATGCCGTGTCGGTCATTAGGGGTCGTTTGACCATACTTCACCACGCAGGTTAGTGCGGGTTTTTGAAAGGAGAACCCAGGACCGGTACAGATATCACTCACCACTGATGTTTGCCAGGGTCGAGCATCCAACTCAGGTCACCCGGATCGTAGTGGACAGATGCATGCTTGGAATTACATTGATAGACCGAAAGAGGAGCATTCCAGCTGTTAAGGGAGGTGAGGCCTGGGCAGCAGGACACGTCACGGCTCAAAGGGGCAATGATGGCCGACGGTTGAGACTAACGACGGAGCGGCAGCCAGGGGATGGGATGCGGAGTCCGAGAGGACGTCCACTGACAAGATGGAGCAATGAACTCGGCTCGCGTGTAGGTGCCAGGTGGGAGGTGGCGTTTTTTTGGGGAGACTTTCAACCAGCAGTGGATCGACCATGATTGATAATAAATTAAGTTAATTGCGTCACTATCCGTGGGTAGTTGCTTCAATTAAAAGTCTTAAAATTGCACCATTGAAGCCAGCATGGGTTATCTTACCTTGCTGATCATGTCAGGCAGCATAAACCATCGTGCAACTCCGGTCATCCTCTTCGCAGCTTACGGCTGGCCATAAAAACAAAGGCGGTCACCGTGTCGCGCCCTTTCAGATGCGCTTCTGCGGCCGTCTAGAGCGCTCTTCTGATATTTGGAAGCCACTGGAGCTATGTACTTTTACATCATCATCTGGATTGAAAACTCATTTCTTTAGAACTGCTTTTTGTGTTTTAGTTTGTTGTCCTTTCCCCGCACCTCCGATTGGCACGGTCGGCTACGTGCGGTGCATCTTAAATATGCTCTTTATAGGTCATCGAGCTGTCCAAACAAACATGCGACGTCGCCGCTGTTGCCGCCACCGCCGCGTGTGCAGAACCTGCAGAAGGAGATGGCGGGTCACGAGCCGCGCGTGCACGAGGTGTGCGAGCGCGGCGAGGCGCTGGCGCAGCGCGGCCTGGGCGAGGACGGCGCCGAGGCCGGCGCCGCGGCGCGCCGCCTGGGGGAGCTGCGGGCGCTGTGGGGCCGCCTGCGCGACGAGGCGCGGGCACGGAGCGCGCGCCTCCACGAGGCCCACCGCGCGCAGCAGTACTACTTCGACGTGGCGGAGGCCGAGTCGTGGATGAGCGAGCAGGAGCTCTACATGATCGCCGAGGAGAAAGTGAAGGTGACTCTCGCGGGCGCCTCCGGCGGCTGTGGCGAGCGCCGGCTGTGCGCGCCGCTGCCTCCGTTCGGCATCGATGCAGCGGATTGACTGCGAATGGGGGGGGCCTGCCCGTTGGTGGCATTTTTAGATAGAAATTTGTTTAATTTGTTTCTCTCCTTCCTTTGCTGGGTCCCTACCGGTCCCTCCTCTGTGTCACGTTGTGGTTGTTTTTGTTGTTGTTGAACGATGATGACGGTGCCGATGCCTGCTTGGCATGATGTCAGGATGAGCAGAGCGCACTGGCTCTGGTGAAGAAGCACGCCATCATGGAGCAGGGGGTGGAGGATTACGCCAACGTCATCCGGCAGCTGGCCGAGACCAGCCGCAGCCTGGTGGCAGACTCGCACCCCGAGAGGTTTGCTCGCTCGCTCGCCCACATGCTCAAAAGGCATCGCTTCAACTCACCATGAGCTCATTCGCGATAAACATAATAATTTTATTTTGCATTCATAATAATTGTGAAACTGAACTGTAAGAGGAGTGTTTCCTGCTGTCGTCCATGCTATGGACGCAATCTTAGGAGTTGTGCAAGGTTACAATTTAGATTTACTTTTATTTATATACGTTGCGTTACCTGCTCCTCTTTGGGTCCTGAAACAAACGAACGCTCGTTCCACGCCGCGTCGCACGCTGGGCTCGGGCTCGCTGCATCGCCGTCAGGGTTGGGTGTCCGGCGGTGGAGACTCGAGACGGAGGCTGCCAGAGGAGCGAACGTCCACTTGGGGATGTCCACCACGGATATGAAGCGTGGCAGGCACCGTAGGATTGAGGGGGATGGCTACGGCTTGGGGAGGGCCTTCATTCAGCAGTGAACAGATCATGGCTGGTGATGGTGGCCCGTGTAGGCGATAGGCATGGCTATATCTGGGGCCGCCAGCAACTCGTTTTCTACTGTGGCTGCTATTGGTGGATCTCTGTAAATTAGTCTGACAAACCGCAAAGATCATTAAAGCAGTTGGTTTATTCACCGCGTGCTTGCGTCCCTCAGCGACCGGATCCTGCTGCGGCAGTCGCAGGCGGACAAGCAGTACGCCAGCCTCAAGGACCTGGCGGAGGAGCGGCGCGGGAAACTGGCCGAGAAGCACGGCCTCTTCCAGCTGAGCCGCGAGGTGGAGGAGCTGGAGCAGTGGATCGCCGAGCGGGAGGTGGTGGCCTCCTCGCACGAGCTGGGCCAGGACTACGAGCACGTCACCGTGAGTCCGCCACCTTCCCCCTCCCCCCCACCCCCAGGTCACCGTGAGTCTGCCACCCCCACCGAGGCACCGTGAGTCCGCTTCATCAACCCAATTGGTGAAGCGTCTCTAACATTGATCATTTCTTTCCCAAACATTGGCTACAGTCCTTCCACATACGATGCCAAAGACGCCCTCTTGGCATCCGATGGTTCGACTTTGTCAGAAATGTCAGCGTTGCATCTGCGGTCGACTCCGAGCGATCGAGAGCTTAGTGCGAGAGAGACGGCTGTCACTTTGTGGACAACGTTGCCCCTCTTGATGCGCAAACTCCAGAAAATTTTGCACGTCGGTTGGCTGTCTGCGTTTGAAGTGAGAACTGCGACCCTCAAAGGAATGGCGCCCCCCCCCCCCCCCCCCCCCCCCGTAATTCTTGGATCGAACGCCGGTGTGTGGCAGCTAGAGACGTTGATGCGAATGCTGTCGCAAGAGGGTCACGCATTTGACGCACAATGCTCCTTCACTGACTCTGCGCGAGGGCTTCACAATCATTAAGCAATTTTAAGTGAAATCTATAAACTTACCTTTTTAAACTTACTTTTACTTAAGATTATTTTATAGTGTTATTACTTTTTAACATGCCTTCGATCGCAATTTATTATAATGCAGTTTTGTTTGTATGGAAATGTATTTTATTGTTGTTGCGCTTTAGTCTTTTAACAATGTTTTATTTTATCTGTACTGCACTTTGAATTGCATCTTTTGCACAAAATAGTGCTAGAGAAATAAAGGCTTGATTGATTGATTGATGAACCCTGTGCTGGCGCACCACCATCGTTCTTCTGAGCAACACGGAGTTAGTTCCAAAGCAATCCCAACGCTCGCTTACAGAGACACTCGCCCTTGAACTGGCCGTGCTCCCGAGCCAGATGTCATCTCGAGTTTTCCCCCAATGTAGTATTTTCCACATGCCTCTAGATGTACACACGTCTATCTAATTCCAGTGCAGGTGACATCCAATCCTACCACAATACAGCCCCGTGTCCATCACTACCGTTCTGCTCCATGTAATGGAATCTATAATCAATGTTCAGCTTTCTGCGATTGCTTGGGTCATCATCCCGGCTTCTTGGTGACAATCAATATAGTATTTGACATTGTTACTGCATTGACGTCCTCGTGATAATTAAAAATGTACAGCCCTTTCTCAATCCACTGCTAGATGAAGAGCTCGCAATGCTGTCAGCCGTGCGAGTTTTTTAAGCATACTTCACCATTCCGGTCAGTGCTCGTGCGTGAATGGGCGAGCTCATGACCAGGTCAGATATAATCCGCTACTGACGTCAGCTGTGGCAGGGATTTCAACGTAGGTCGCCGGGCTCACAGCGCATTGCGCACAGCGCTGAGCCACCACTCCCTCGAAATCAGGGATACATTGGTAGATTGGAAAATATTTAGAGTAAATCTGCTCATAAGTTTTGTGCCTTCACATAGGGGGCAGTGAGTGAAGTAAATTATTTCTATTGCCAATTTTTACCCCTTGGTGAAGTCTGATCGCATTAATGGCATTGGCCATGATGACCTCTTGACCTTCTCCAATATAAAGACTGTTTCATTTCTATTCGTTTCATTCCTGTCATGGCTACTCAGGTGGATACTGCATGATAGGAGACAGAGCTCACCTCACCACATAAACTCAAACTGGGACTAAAAGTCCGTGGTCACGACAGCACAGTCTGTTAGAGCTCTGCTGTTCTGCTTCATATTTTGCCAATTCTCATGGCCGCCACCAGAGGGATTGCATCGTGCGTCTCGGATCATGCGCGCTGCTATCTTACGCTGCGTTTGAATGTCAAAGGTTCCCATTGTCAGCAGTTGCTGTGAATTTGGACTGCGCAGAGGCGTCTCCATCAGCCTGCGCCTCTTAACATCACGTGATCCATCTAGCCTACCACGAAGTTAGTGGGTTCCTGATAAATAGCAATAATAATTTACATTTGTAAGGTGCATTTCATCCGTGGATCCCAATGGGGATCTCCGGATAAAATACAGCAAGTCGACTAATAAGAACACCAATTGTAGCGGAATCCTGAGCACAAGGCCCATGGCAAAACCATGGACTGCGTGGAGTCGATTACTAACACGGCCTTGAAGTGTACGTTAATGACGTCTGCGCGTCGCTCCGTCACTCCGTCTGTACGCAGCTCCTGGAGGAGCGGTTCGCGGAGTTTGCGCGGGAGACGGCGGCGACGGGCCACGAGCGCGTGAGCGGCGTCATGGCGGCCTCCGACGTGGTCATCGCCGGCGGCAATGCCGAGTCGGCGGCGGCGGCCGCCGAGTGGAAGGACACGTTGGCTGAGGGCTGGGCCGAGCTGCTCGAGCTCATGGAGACGCGGGCGCAGATGCTCGCCGCCTCGCGCCGGCTGCACAGGTCCCGCCCACCCGCTCACCTGCTCACCTACTCTCCCACTCGCTCGCCTACTCACCCACTTACCTACCTGCTTACCCGCTCCCCCGCTCACCTGCTCACTCATCCACACAGCCACTTGCCCACACATTCACTCGCTCAGCTAAACATTCTATTGCACGACCCTCCTGCTAAAATAATTGGCGTTTTGGTCAAAACATGAGAGATGGTGGTGCTACTACCGTGGTATAATGCTGAACACACTGGACTTGCAATCCAGAGGTCGCAAGTCTTTTTTAATGTGTGTATGTATTTTGGACTTCTATTACACTGTGCATCGAAAACCGTGTTAATTAGAGGTGCGGCAAATCCTCTGTCCACCCAGATGTATGATTGAGTCCACCATAGTTAGTCGATCAGCAGGTCACGTGTGGTGGGGTAAAATGTGGGTAATCCCACTTTCAAAGACCACATCTCCGATTAGCACACTTGGCTACGTACGGTGCGAGAGAACTGCAACATGCATGCGTACGTACGAAGATGTCTGGCCATCGCGAAAAAGTAGGCCAATTACCCTCTACTGGGTCGCTCTAGAGCCCCCTCCAGCAGAGGCCCTTCCGCCACCTTTGACCTTTATCGGCGTGAGAGAGACGGAGACTCGTCCCCACTCGTCATGGCCGGGGACCGCGCGGAGCGTGACGACGGCCGCGTGCCGCTGCTGCTGCCGTCGCCAGGTTCGTGCACGACGCGCGCGAGGTGCTGGGGCGCGTGCGCGAGAAGCAGCAGCTGCTGCCCGACGAGCTCGCGCGGGACCTCATCTCCGTGGAGAGCCAGCAGAGGGCCCACGCCGCCTTCGAGACCGACGTGCAGGCCTTCGGCACGCAGGTGGGGGGGGGGGGGGGGTGGCGCCGGCGTCGTAGCCTCGGTCCGAGCGCGCCGCACGAGCACGGAGCAACGTAACGACTCGTTTCTCTCACCGTGTAACACAAACGCGTTATCCATTGCCGTGGAGCAGTGTACGCATCAGCCTATTGGCTTTCCAGTCAAATATTATGCAACAACATTTGTTTAAGCAAGCACATCCTAAAGTGGGTTTGTTGTGTAGACGCATTACTACGTAGGCCGTGTGCCCTTACAATCATTGTTTAGCATGCAGCCACAATGCTATGGTGATGTCACAACAATAATATATCCTGAAGCTTGCATATGGTTGGATCAGAGGTCGGCAACCAAAATAACAACAAGAGCCATATTTTTTCGATTTAGGTAAATGTGAATACAAGACGGTGGTCCTTAATAAATAACGTCACGAAGCAGTCCATAAAGAGCCGCCGCATGCGGCTCCAGACCAGCAGGTTGCCGACCCCTGGCTGGACGAATAGCAAATTGTGTAGGAGTACGGGGCGGTGGGGCAGTGGTTCAGCGGTGACCCAGTGGTGACCCAGCGGTGACCCAGCGGTGACCCAGTGGTGGCAGGAGTCGTGGCCCAGCGGTGACCCAGTGGTGGCCCAGCGGTGACCCAGTGGTGACCCAGCGGTGACCCAGCGGTGACCCAGTGGTGACCCAGCGGTGACCCAGCGGTGGCCCAGTGGTGACCCAGCGGTGACCCAGCGGTGACCCAGTGGTGGCCCAGCGGTGACCTAGCGGTGACCCAGCGGTGGCGCTTGTTGTAGAGCTTCGCAGATCAAATCCAGTGGCCGTCCTGACCGATGTCAGGGCGGGCACCAATTTTTTAAGGAACCGGAGCAATCGACCAATTAATGAATTGACTTCATCGCCTAATCGTCCAGGCGGTGATGACGACACGGAGGCCTCGCGTGGGGCGGTGCTCATGCGATGTCGTCTCGTCGTCGCGCAGGTGGTGGCGCTGCAGGAGTCGGCGCGCGGCCTGCAGGAGTCGTACGCGGGGGACAAGGCGGAGGAGATCCGCCAGAGGGAGCAAGAGGCCGTGAGCGGCTGGGAGGGGCTGCTGGCGGCGTGCGCCACGCGCCGCCAGCTGCTCTCCGACACGTGGGAGAAGTGCCGCTTCTTCAGCGCTGCCCGCGACCTCCTGCTGTGGATGGAGGGCATTGAGAGGCAGATGGAAGCTCAGGAGAAGCCAAGGTCAGAGAATTTACTTTTTTTCACACATATATCCCAATTGCGTTATCGCAATTGGGATATATGTGTTGGAGATATGTGTTGGAGACCATTTTGCGGAAGTGGATCGAGCAGAGCTACCTCTGAGATCCTTTTAAAATGCGTTCTGGAGTCTTGAGGAGAAAAGCCCGTGCTTCTGGGTGTCGTGTGACACCGGAGTAGTGCCGGGTGAGACCGTGAGCACCACATGACCGAGAGACTCGCAATGCCACGGGGTCTTAGGGACCTCATGACCCAGGTTCAGGTTTCTTGTGAGGCCAGTTTGCATTTTGGTTCTGGCTTGGCTGAGAAAGTCGCCTGTGGAACTCCACCAGTGCCGTGAGGGCACTGGGCTGGCGTGCCGGGAGAGATGGCAATCGTCAGCAAACCGCCGCTGTTCTGAAGACTAAAGCCATTTTGTTAAAATTATTTCAGAGTACCCTTAAAATATAATACCCGGTTAAAAGTGTTTCATAAAGCAGTCACGGGGCTTTATACATGTATAGAACTGCATAACAATAACCTAAATATTTCATTGCAAAGGGTGAGGCGGTCCCTTCTGTGGCAGAAATTCTGTATTTGTAGTGACCTGGTGTCTAATGAGTAACTAGGGGTTGACGAGCGTCTGCGCGTGACCCGAGAGGGCAAAGGTGGAGCCGTTGCCTCGTTGTTCACGCTCATTGTGTGGAAAACGTCGGTTGCTCTGGAGAGAATTTGAGGCTCAAAAATACAGAAACGTTGGCAAGGTCTTGCACTTTCGGCATCATCCGTGAGCGTGGAGGCAGAGCCCGGGGTGCAGGGCCGGCGTTACCGAACCGGCGCCGGTGAGCGCGACGAGAAGTGAAGACGATCGGTGTTGCGTCGAGCGTTTTTCTCGTGTCCTGACGTCGTGTGAGCACGGCCCCGAGGCCGCCACCACCACGACGCGCTTGTGGAATGGAAGTTCCCGTCAACCGTCGCCGTTTTTCAAATCGGTGACATTTGGATTGTTCCTCCCTTTTGTCGACGCTTTGCTCGCGGGACAAGCGTCTCGCGCCGTGTGGCGCGGTGAGCTCGATGCAGCTTGCCGGCACTCGCCTTCCTCGTGCGCCGACGCTGCCGCCCGGAGGGCCGATTAATGCCGTTGTGCGGATGCGGCTACTGACGGGGCGGGACGGTGCGATCTCCAATTTAACAGCCTGACCAATGACAGAGAATCGTTCCTTTAGTCTGGCTCTGGAGAATGCCGACAGATCATGCCCAAGTTGCAAACCTTGAGCCGCTGCTGCTGTGCTCGCTATAACGGTGCCCATAGCAACGACGCAGGAAGAGGGAGAAGAGTGAGCGGTGGTCCTCTCATCATCACTCACGTGCAGCCCAGCATAGACGCCGGCATCTCGCCTCGTGCGTGCGCTCGAGCGTCACCGTTGTGAATCTCCCCGCCCGGGCCTTGCGTTGTGTAAGCGGTGTGATGCACTGGGCGCACAGGCTCCTTGCGTTGCCACGCTTGCGCCGCTCTGGGTGTTTGTTGTTGGTTGTTTCTTCAGCAGTGTTGCCCCATGCTACCCAGCGTTGTTTTGAGCAATTTTGAACGTCTGAAATTTTCACCGATAAATTCTCTGCTCTCGGGAAATTATTTATTTGAGGGGGGGAGGGGGTACGAATTACGACGAATGACGTTTACGAGATGGCGCAGGAGGCCGGAGTGAACGAGCGAAGTCACTGACACACGAGCATGTGTGCGTGTGTGCGTGCGTGCGTGCGTGTGCGTGTGTGCGTGCGTGTGTCTCGTCGTGCGCCCAGGGACGTTTCTTCTGCTGAGCTGCACATCACCAACCACCAGGACGTCAAGGCCGAGATGGACGCGCGTAACGACAGCTTCGTCGCCGTGGTGGAGATGGGGCAGTCGCTGCTCGACCGCGGGCACTACGCCTCTGACGAGGTACCGCCGCCTCCTCCGGCGTGCCCAGCGGCACGCCGAGCATCTAAGAAGAATTAAACAATCGATGATAATCACAATTTGACGATATTTTGAAAGAGAAAAAACAGACGATGGTTATTGTGAATATTATTTCGCGAGCTACGTCGCGACTCCGGTACCCATATTGACCTTGTGCCATTGCACACTCGAGAAAGCTGCTGCTGCTGCCGCTGCCGCCATTGTTATTGTTGTTGTTGTGGATGCAGATTCAGGAGAAGCTGGAGCAGCTTAAGGACAAGCGGAAGGGCATGGTCCTGCACTGGGAGGATCGCGCCGAGTGGCTCAAGCTCAGTGAGCGAGCCTCCCTCCCTCCCTCCCTCATGTTCCTTGTACCCGTTGCTCTGGATGATCAAAGGATATGTGGGCTGCGAAGTGTTAGTTATTAAAATAGGCTCATTTTGTCCACGCTCATCAGATTTTACCGTCTTAAAGAAAACTAAAGAAACAAATATTCCTTGCATTCGCCTTTCAACAAATCCGTTTCGAGCACTGCCGGAACCCGGTGTCGCGGGAAGATTCCATCGCAACGGTCGTGACTGCACGACGTCTGTGCAGCCCAGAGTGGCAGGTGGCAGGCGCAGGCCATGCGGTTTCTGGTGTCGCTAGAGGGGAGTAAATACCCTCACCGTCACCCAACGGCCGAGGTCCGTCACCTCGTGGATGAAGGCCTCTGCAAGCCCTCGCCTTAGGGACATTTATTATTAAACGCGTAATATATTTATAACATTCGGCTGTGATGGGGATGGATATAAAATCACCTCTGTCTGTCCGTCTATGTGTTGCTCTGTCCGTTTGTAATGAGGGCTCACAATAACGCTCCTAAAGATAATCCAGCATCGGTGAAACTTGAGTTGCTCTCTGAGACTCTGCCCTCCCAGGCAAAGCTGCTGTCCGAGCCCCGTGGTCTCAGCATGACTATATCGCAAATTGAATAATTAAATGCTTCAGAGGACAAACGCTCGTTGGAAGGCTGTGCGCGTGAGCGCCGCGTGCGTCCGCGTGTGCGCGTGCAGTGCTGGAGGTGCACCAGTTTGCGAGGGACGCCGGCGTGGCGGAGGCCTGGCTGCTGGCGCAGGAGCCGCACGTCACGTGCCAGGAGTTTGGGGAGAGCGCAGACGAGGTGGACGAGCTGCTCAAGCGGCAGGAGGCCTTCGAGAAGTCGGCCGGCACCTGGGAGGAACGCATCGCGCTGCTCGAGAGGCTCACCACCGTATGTCCTCGCTCGCACGCCCGCACACCGACACACACACACACACACGGATACGCACACGCCGACACACATACGGATACACGAACACACACGCACCAACAAAGACAAGTACACTGACACACGGAGACACACACACACACGCGGATACACGCACACACATTGATACACACACACACGCCAAAGCCACCGATGGCACCGCCCCTCCGTCAAATCCCGCAGCTCCTGCGCGGTCGACACGCGGCCTCCAAGGTCTCCGCGAACAAAAGCCTCCCCCATCTGGCCTTGGCTCTTGTCTCGCAGAGACCCCCCACAATGCCCGTCTCCCCCACCCTGCACGCGTCCCAGCCAGCGCAACCGTCTACGCCAAATCACATCCACGGCCGTCGCCTGCCCTCTTCTCCTCCGGACTCAGCGTCGCTCCTCCTGCACTGTCACGGAATTCCCAGCATCCGTGTCGGACTCCTGCGCTCGGACGCCGACAACTTCTTTTTGAGCCGCCGAGCGTCCTGCTCCTCTCTGATCCGCACAGTAACACGGATAGAGCACTCGTGTGGCTCCAATACCACACTCAGACTCACCTCTCTTCTCTTACAAAGTCGTTTCCGTAGCCCCCATGACTCTCACCACTTGAATCTGCGCGCGGTCGTTCGTGTCCCCGTGTGTCTCGCGGCACAGCTGGAGGTTCGCGAGCACAAGCGGCGGGAGGCGCGCCTGGCGGAGGAGAAGCGCCAGGAGCAGCTGGAGCGCGAGCGCCAGGAGAAGGAGGAGGAGGAGGAGGAGGCGCGGCGGGCGGCAGAGCAGGAGGAGAGGTTAGAGAGAGAGGGGAGCTTCCCCGGGCTCGCGCAGGACGAGGGGACGAAGCCCCACACGCGCCGAGCGCAACTACGCTATGAGGCTTTGTCTGTATGGCTTAAAAAAGAACGCCGATCAGTAAATGTGCACGTAACAGAACTCGGAAGGATATCACGGTCGTCTTGGAGGGCACGACTCTTGCGAGGTGAACGCCGCTTTTCTACCGGGTTCTGCCATAACCACTGCCAAATGTCAGAACAGAGTGGCCGTGCAATGCTCGCGTGGAGATGTCTGCGGCAGAGGTTAACTCCCCGAGTCCCTGTGTCTGGGTCGTGCACGAACGTCGCCCGCGGCCGGGAAACTTCCCAGCGTCCACGGTTTCAGGAGGTCACGGCGACCCCTGCTGCTCCTCTCATAGGTCCACAGATAACGGGAGACCGTGGCATGCATGCCTTCAGATACGAGGCGCTGCGGATAAGAGAGTTACGTATAAGGGGAGCGTCGCCACTGTGACTCCGCGAGTGCACGGCAACGGCGGGCAGCAGGTCACGGGAGAGCAGACCGGGCGCCGAGGTTAGCGACGCGAAACAACTTCTACGCTGAAATCACTAAATCACGAAAAAAATCACCGGCGTCCTTGTGCAGACGACGACGCCTGCTGCACGCCATCCGTCTCTCCGCATAAACAAGAAGAGGTTTTTGTTTTTCACGACTTGTGAGCCGCGTGACCATGGGGAGTGCGCGATTCAGCAGCATTGTTTTTGTCAAGGTAGATCGAAGCTCTCGACCGGTTTCTCCTGGGTACTGAGTGCGCACGTTATAAATATGCGCTGTGTACGATTTAAAGAGGTTTAGCCAAGCTTGGTTGGCTGGCTGTGTGGAGAATCCAACCACGCTGGAAGAGCCAGTTACAAGACGTGAGACTCCACCACTGCTCAGCTCCCCCCATTGGTTGCCTCGGGTTTGCCGCATTGGTCACTGCACTGACCTTGCCACGCACGGCTGTTAGAAAACGGAATTCAATATATTCCATTGTGTGTATTACCGTTATTTAACTTTTTGTGAAGGTACAATTGGAATGTGAATTACTCAGAGGAATGGTGTCACGTTATTTATGTATTTGTCAATAAAGAAGTGTGTTCGACATACCGAGATGGGTAACTCTAAAACGAATTTGCAATGCATTTGATCAGCGCTTGGTGACATTGTAACGATTTGGCTGTGACACAGTCAACAATGTTCGTCTCTTTCAATCTGGACTGTGTATTGAGTGTGCGACTGTCTGCGTTAGAAACTCGTGCGGCTTCCTTGACGATCGCGCAGCTCGCCGTGATGCTATTATTTATCTTGTTTTTGCAGGGAAAAAGAGTTAATGGAGCAGACTGTGCAGAATGGTATCCCGTCTGATCAAGAGTCCCCGAAGGTGGGACGTCGCTCGTACCCGGCTTGTTTTGCGTCGCGCGAATGCGTCCGTGTGGCACGCCACGTGGGATGTCTCGGGGTCTCCCAGTGAAAACAATAGGGTCAGTCGTCTTCGTCTTGCGATTCACGTCACACGCTTCCTCAGCGGTTAACGCGTTGCTGGTGTGGTACGAAAGAGATCGCTGGGCTCCCTGTTTGATGTACCTATCTTGAACTTCTTTTGCACCGTACATATGTGTTAATTGGAGGTACGGGGGAGGGATAACAAACTAAACACAAAAAAAGCGGTTCGGAAGAAAGTCGTTTTCAAGCTAGATGATGATTTAAAAGTGCATAGCTCTCGTGGCTTCCTAATATCGGAAGGAAGAGCGTTCCAGACGGCCGCAGAAGCGCATCTGAAAGGGCGCAACATGGTGACCGTCTTTGTTCGACGGTCATCCGATGAGCGGGGGATGACCCCTATCCCACCAACGTTGACGCCCCAGTTACGCGTGTCGATGGTGGGGCAAAGCAGTCGGATGAATCCCGGTCGACGGTCCGCTCGCTCCATCGTCGTTACGGTGTTCATATTCATGGTTGGGAAGTCAGCAGCGACTGTCAGATGAAATAAACTGGCTTGGCCATAGGAATGTCATTCCCACCACTGGTTCAAAACGGCCAACAGAGATGAGAACTGCCCAACCATTAATCGAGCAGTGAGTCTTTTTTGCACGCTCGGCTCACGCTCGTCGGTGCGCGTCTCCTCGCAGACCAACGGAGAGGACGCGAAGGAGGCGGATGGCAGCGCCGTCCCAACGGCCGCGGACGAGGTCCAGCCCGCCACGCTCAAGGAGGGCTCCCTGCACCGCAAACACGAGCTCGATGCCAACGGGAAGAAGGCCTCCAGCAGGTGACCCGACGCACGCGCTCACGAGCGGCCCAGCGTGCCACCGTCACGCTCGGCGCTTCTCTTCATCTGCTGCGCTCCCGCGCCCAGCCCGACGCACCGCTTTCTCCCCACGTATCAACGTGTTCCCCAAGTTCAGATGAATCCAAGGGATATAAAAATCGGGCCTCGGTGTGAAATTTTAATATCAGATGGTTCTTAAAGTGTGACGTCGCAGGAAATTATGGCACCTGATTTTCCCGAGCAATAGTGAAGTCGCGTTGCTTCGGGTCACTTTTGTAAGCACGTAGACGCGTAAAATTATTACAAAAAAAAGAGATCCAAACTCTTTATAAAAATCTGAAAGCCCAGTTATTTTAAGGTGAAAACTCATCCCAAGTACAGCAGCGCCAGGGAGGAGAAGTCCTGAGAGTTGAAACAATTCGGCTAGCAGCTGCACACGAACTGATTTCATGATTCCATCTCTGCAGCAGACGTTCCCCCGCATGTGTTCCCACATTCGTCTGCCATTCCATCGGTAGTCTCGGCCGCTGGCTCTCTCGCCCCTTCTAGCGACGCTTCCCGTGTTTTCCTTAGCCCGCCACACGTAGTCGCTTTACCTTGACGAACAGCCACAGGGACGAGGCAGCGACGGTTGGACCCTCGCTTGTCGTGTGTGACCGGCAGGTCCTGGAACACGGTGTTCTGCAAGCTCACGGACCACGGCCTGGGCTTCTACAAGGACAACAAGAGCGCCGCCGCGGGGGCTCTGTACCACAACGAGCCCCCCCTGCCCCTCGCCGGCGCCGCCTGCGAGGTGGCCTCCGACTACAAGAAGAGGAAGCACGTCTTCAAGCTGCAGTGAGTCTCCCGCGCGCCCGCGGAGGCAAGGCTCGCCGTGGCTGCCGCACTCAGGCCCTTTTGCCCGTCGAGCGGCGCGTGGTGCCCGTAGGAGGCGGTAAAGCAAGTAGGTTCTTAAACTCTGTGAGGCTGTGCTTGGTTTATCTTCGGCAGCGAGGGAGCGCTACTAAAGTTCAACTTTTAATTTGCACGATGGCACGCGGCCGCGACGCACTGGCGAGCACACCGAGCCGGTTCGGTCTCCCGGCGCGGCAGTTGAATCACCGAGGAATGCTTTCCTATATCCAACCGCTCCCCCTCGTCCACCCAGCAGCACGCGTGGGGCTGTCGCAGACGGTCAGTCGGCAGGCCGCGTGTGATGGAGCTAAGTGCGGCCACGCGCACCTCTTCCTAGATGCCTGGCCAGCGTGGGAGCGTCGGCGTTGGCACCGCGTATCGTGCAGCGTCACACCGGAACAACCGTCCTGTATCGTGTAGCGTCACACCGGAACAACCGTCCTGTATTGTGTAGCGTCACACCGGAACAACCGTCCTGTATCGTGTAGCGTCACACCGGAACCGTCCTGTATCGTGTAGCGTCACACCGGATCAACCGTCCTGTATCGTGTAGCGTCACACCGGAACAACCGTCCTGTATCGTGTAGCGTCACACCGGATCAACCGTCCTGTATCGTGTAGCGTCACACCGGAACAACCGTCCTGTATCGTGTAGCGTCACACTGGAAACCCGTCCAGACGTTAATGACAGAAGACGACATTCTAGCTTGTGAACAACGTAGATAGACCTGTCGACGCGTGTTCACGTAGGGTGCAGACGCTGTTTCTGTGTGTGACTAGCGTATGGCTGGTTGTCTTGCCAGGCTTGCGGACGGGAGTGAATACCTGTTTCAAGCCAAGGACGACGTAAGTCTCCACCCACACGCTGCCCCCACACACCCCACACATCCTCCCCACACCCCCCGCGCGCGAGAGTGGTTTTACTGAAACGCTACCCACACGTCGCGATGAATCACCACGTATATTCACACGTGTGCGCATGGAATATGTCGCTATTCAACAATCTCCTATTGTGATTCCCAATGCATGCCGACTTAGAATATTTAACGACACACACATACAGTAAACCCTTATTAATTCGACACATATGGAGCTCTGGCCTTGCCAAAGCATCCAATATTCCATATTATCTACAATGGTACTAGTGCCTCCTGCCCCAATATTTGTTTTCCAAACTCTTCACACACCATACACATCGACACACCCGCATCCATTCTATCCAGGTTTTACTCTACATTTGTAACAGCGAAATCTGGAGCGAAGAAACGCACGACACACAGCCCAGCCCGTAAAAACGCACTTGCATCACAAGCGCCCGAAGGGAAACAGTTGCGGGCTGAGCGTTTCTGACCGCACCGTCACGTTTCCCCCAGGACGAGATGAACGCCTGGATCCAGAGCATCTGTGGGAACGGGATGGGTTCGGGGAGCGCGAGCGGCGTGGGGATGGGGGGCAGCGCCAGCGCCAGCGGGCTGCCCAGCGGCGGCGGAGACACGGCCAGCCTCGGCGGTGGCGGTGGAGAGCCGCAGCAGCAGCAGCAGCAGCAGTCGCCTGCCGCCGTGGTGCTGCGCCGGAAACCGACGTCGCCGGGATCGGCCGCCAGCGACACGACGAGCCCGAGCCGCAAGAGCGAGAAGCGCTTCAGCTTCTTTGGGAAGAAAAAGTAAACGGAGAGCCAGCGGGGAGGAGAGAAACATTTTGAATACCTAGGCAGTAGAGACAGAATGTTAGACGAGAAGAATAGAAATAGAACGGTGTTGCTACTAGCATTTGTTTCGATGGCAAATCCCACGCCCGCTAAGCATTAGAACACAGCTGTTGGTGTGCCCGGTAGTCGTGGAGGGAGAGATGGTGAGGGTGTAATAACCGTGCTAGCCCTAACTTCGTTACCCGTAACCTTAATTACTCGATTGACCTGGAGATGACATCCTAGTTATATACGGGGGCATCGTTCCTCGCTGACTCCTTGCGGATCTGCCACTACATAGGGGCTGTTGTAGCGTCCGAACATCTCCCTTGTAAAGAGCAAGTTGTCGAGTAACAATTGCGTGACGTTCACATTAACTTTGTAATCCATGTGCAGTGTACGTGGCATGTGGGAACATCTTAAGGGGGGGACGCAGGGCGGGACTAGAGGTAGGCGTTGTGTATCTCTGCGGGTGGCAACGAGAACGTGGATAAAGAAGGTGCCAGAGTGGTAACGGGCGGGGCTATGAGGTCGTGGGTTCACGTGTGACACTACGGTACCACAGATCCTTGGTACTTTTTTCTGCCCCCCCCCCCGCCATATACTGCGGGGCCGTCAGTTCGGAGGAGTGGGTGGAGTGCAGCAGCTCGTTCTTTGTTTTTGGGGGGGGGGATTTTTTTTCCCTTTTTAAAAATCGTGAAACCAAAACACCGCACGCTGGGGGTCCCGGTGAGAGTCCACGCCGGGTCTCGCTCGGTGTGAGCAAAGTAGAAGGAACACGAAATATGCAATTCGAACAACCCAACTAAAATTATTATCGACCATTTTAGCACGTGGCTATATAAGCTGAGCTGCCTTTGATTTTATGTATTGCAAATACACAAGTTCCAGACATTATATTCGGTTGTAGATTTGTGCAAATCGTTTTTTTTTAAATGAGAGTCTGATATCTGATGCTCTTTTTAGATGTAGATCGGTATCTCACCTTCTGTCGGGGGGGGGGGGGGGGGGGGGTCACTTTAAGATTCTGTGAATTGCCCTGCTGGTCTACTCCAACAGCTCTTATAGCCAGGTGCCGTGATGTGACACGGCCACTGCTACAATGTAACTACTCTTTGGCCTTGTGCCAAGTATAGCCATGGCTTTTTTCTTTCCTTATTGAAATTCCAAAGTTTTAAGTGTACAGGAATAATGGAATGTGTATGTTGTTGGAGGGATAGAGAGAGAGAGCTGAAGATAAAGAAAGGATTAAGTGACATTGATGAGCGAGAGAGGCAGAACTAGTAACCAACTGTTAGTGTTTGTAAAAAAAACTTTATGGGGTTAAAATCCAGGTTAAATTCATAATATAAAACTAGTTTATGTATGTGTGCTTTAATTGTAAGGTGCATTAATGTATGCATTCCGTTTGTGTTAGCGGGTAAGTGGGAACCGCCGCTCTTGCCTAGCAAGCCCCTGCGCTGTTCCACTCTCGTGGACGACTGCTTTTGTCGGCTTGATGCGCTTTCTAACGTCGGCTCAGAGTAGAAGAAGCGTCCAGTCGAGCGCGGCATTGGGATGCGCTCCACACGATCCTCTAGGGGAGGGGGCAGTGGTGGGGGGACGTTCCCGTGGGAGCGCCGAGCGCCGGGGTCGTTCCGTCTGCGAGGCGCCGTCCGTCCCGGTGCAGCGCTCGTTCCGGTCGGAGGTTCACGCGCGAAGGGGCGGCCTGGACGGTGACCGGGATGTCGCCCTGCGTGGTGACCTGTACGTTTCGATGCGAGGAGTGCTTTTTTTGCTTCTAGAAAGAATATGCAGTCTAATGAATAAAAACGCGAAACGTGCGTTGACATTAAAGCCCCAGTGTGCAGAGCTTTAGCTGATGTGCTTGTGCCATTTTTAACACGTTTTAACCTCAACACGTGAATATCATTAAAGGTAAAAGTTTAGAATATCGTTTTAAATTAAGACGTAGTTAAGTTTAGAGGAAGAAAACATTTTTACGACAGTCTAAACGGCTACGACTCGATGCACCGCTGCGCTTGTGCCAAGGCCTCGCGTTGTCGCTCGTGGCGGTGGTGATGCTGCGGGGTCTGGCGCCGACCTGCCCCACGGGGCAGCCGCAGAGCCCCTGGGACTCTGCGGCTGTCGGAGCAGCGCGGCGATGAAATGGGGCGGGGAGGGGAGCGAGGGGGAAGAGGAGGGGGGGGGGGTCATCGCCAGGGCTTCACTTCCAGACGAGAGGACCCGGGAGGTGCCACAAACCTGGCAGTAGCCACAGGACGTAGCGAGTAGTGCACTGGATGTGGTGTGCCGGGCGCGGGACGTATTTTCCGGAGTCGGAGCCCCCGGACAGCTCCGGCTGAATCCCTTGGGCATGGCCACCCTGGGAGGATTGAGGCCCCGAACCCCCATCCCGAGTCTCGCACCGACACGAACCAGGGCGTCCTCCTGTCTCTCTGCTGGGGCTTTAAGCGCTGCCCGTAGTTCAAGAGCAAATTGCGCGCTTCTCACACTGTCGGCCGAGCTACGGTTGTCGGCAGGGAGTTAATGCATTGCCGCCGGCATGGTAACCCTTCGTGCGTGGTGTCTGTGCTACACAAGGAGTCTGCGTGAGCAGTCGTGTTAATAAAAACTAAAACTGACCGTGACGACGATTCCCGCTTCCTTGACGAGTGGCGTGGCGGGGGGACACGGGGGGGGGGGGGGAGGCGTCGGTGAAGCTGCGGCGGGGGGCGAGTGGCTGATGTTGACGGTCCCCCCTGTTGGTCGCCACTGGGGGGGTTCGTCGCGCAGCGTGCGAGCCGCTGCTTCGATCTCAGCGGCAGGTTGAAGACGCCGTCGTGAGCAGCAACAGGTCTCCGCGGACAGCCAAGAGGTGAACGCTCCGATTCGGGACGCTGAATCTTGGAGCGACGGGTGCAGAAGGCGCTGTTGACGACGCGTGAGCCGTGCCGGTTCATCCCAGGACTCGACCCTCACCGTGACGGAGGACGCTACAATTAGCGACGGCGCGGCAGCTCTCGACAGATGGCGGCGTTGTCACGTTCCGTGGGTAGCTGCCGTGCGACACGACCCCACAAAACCTGCGCGAGCTCAGCAGGGCTCCTACGGCCACTCCACATCGCCCTCCCTCCCGCCTGCGCTGTGCACCACCAGCCTCGTGTGGTCATCTGTTGAGGACGCGCTCGGGACGAGCGACAGCGGCGGGGGAGTGTTTCTGTATTCCCGGTCAGGGACGGTGTCCGCTCGCGCCCCACGTCAGCAGGAAGACGGTCGCTTCGACCAGCGTGCCCCCCCCCCCGCACGGGAGCTGGCAAGGCCTGGCACTCGGAGCCCCCCTTTCGGAGCCTTCACGCCTCTACAAGCACCCCCATCGTTCACGTTGGAGTCTAATTAAAACAAGCGGAATGAGAATCAGAATTTCGATTTAAAGCTTTCGTGACTGCAGGGATATATATTCTTGGTTCTTTCGGTAAAGTCACGTAGAAGGGAAATAATAATACAAATAAAACAATGTATGCTGTATTATTTTATTATTTCCCTTCTACGTGACTTTACCGAAAGAACCAAGAATATGAGAATCAGAATGTTCAGACTGCGGGAGTAGGAATCCAATGAGCTGCGAAGCTCTTTGTCACAGATGTCCCATATGAGCGGGTCAACACGTTACAACAGTAGACGACAAAACACGACACGAGTGCAACACAGGGAAGAAGATAAGCAAGTCACTAAAAAGAAATACTGAATACATGAATTATATTGTCCCATGTATTACGCTTGGGCAAGGCAGCAACAGAGCCTCACTGGTGAGCCAGCAGTGTCAGCCTCGTCTCTCTTTGCTCCTCTTGCTGTCCTGTGGTGTAAAGAGATTTTACCAAGTTCTGCGCACCTTGACTGGCTCCACTCTGGAACTAATCGCCCGCACTCCGTCTCCACAACGAATTGCATTTTGTAGCGAGACTCCGCACACAGTGAGACTCCGCATGTAGCGAGACTCCGCACGCGGAGAGACTCCGCACGCAGCGAGACTCTGCGTGCGGAGAGACTCCGCACACAGTGAGACTCCGCACGTAGCGAGACTCCGCACGCGGAGAGACTCCGCACACAGCGAGACTCCGCGTGCGCAGCAAGACTCCGCACGCGGAGAGACTCCGCACACAGAGAGACTCCGCACACAGAGAGACTCCGCATACAGCGAGACTCCGCACGTAGCGAGACTCGCGCGTGATATCTGGCATTGACATCAAGCGTGAAACTCTTTAAGTAAGGTGCTGCATTTAAATGCAAACATTACCGACACATTACACACGCGGGCAACTGGTGTTGACGAGCTGTGTTGTGAGTTTGTCGCAGCGCTCGGTTTCGGGATGTTATAGTTTCAGTAAAAACACGAGCAGTAGTAGTGTTCACAACAAGCGAGCCAGTCACCCGGTCAGCAGCATAACAATACCACGAGGAGTGGTGGAGGTGTCTAGGTGCTGCAGGGTGCTTAGGAGATGCACGGGGCGTCACGACGAGGGGGTGGGACTCCTCCCCGGGGCGAGCGAGGCGCGTGGCGCACCGCGACCCCGCGCCTCGGAGCCACGGGCCGAGCTCCCGCAGCCCTGGCTCCTGCTACCCCGGCTCCTGCCATAACCCCCTCCCCGTCCTCCTGCAGACAGTCGGCAGGCACATCGGCACCGCACAGCCACGCAGTGCGCCGCGTGAGAAAAGCGCGCCACGTGTTTAGGGCGCGGTCGGTGATGCCCGCAGGTAATTACGCCAAGTACTCGAGCGATATCGCAGATCGGTCGTTCTAAGTTACACGTCAGTGGCGAGGTCCACGGGAAACGCGCCGTGGTGGTGTTGTCGGGCACGCGGCGACCCGAGTCTCCGGGTGAACCTTGCGCATCGCCACCGACACCCCGCGCCGTGGCTGGACATCACGCGGTCCCCTCCGGGGGTTGCTACTTCAACGAGAGCTCCGATTCCGGCTACGGCTCCACCCGCGACGACCCCCGCCACGAGCTGGAGCCGCGGGCCCTGGGGTGCGACCCTCCCGGCCGCACCGTCGCCACACCGCGACGCGCTGCTCAGCGGCCGCCACCGCCGCTGATTGCCAACCTCGCGGCGTCGGACCTGGCCGTGGCACCGTGAGCTGCCCCGTGCAGCTGTGGACCACTTCGCGTGGCACCGCCTGGCGTGCACACACACAGCGTGCACACACACACCATGCACACACACATACACACCGTGCACACACACACATCGTGCACACACACAGCGTGCACACACACACATCATGCACACACACCGTGCACACACATACCGTGCACACACATCGTGCACACACACACAGCGTGCACACACACACACACCGTGCACACACACACAAATCGTGCACACACACCGTGCACACACATAGTGCACACACACACACTGTGCACACACACACACATCGTGCACACACACACCGTACACACACTTCGTGCACACACACTGTGCACACACATCGTACACACACATTGTGCACACACATCGTGCACACACACTGTGCACACACACACCGTGCACACACACACATCGTGCACACACACACTGTGCACACACACACCGTGCACACACACACCGTGCACACCTCCAGCATCGCTCCTCACCATCATCACATCGCTCATCACATCGCTCCTAATCATCGCATCCCTCCTCGTGACATCGTTCATCACACAGCCCGGGAGGGCACGCGCTTGCCCACAGCGTGGACCCCATCATAGCATACATGATAGCATACATCATATTATACAGTGAGGGAAAAAAAGTATTTTATCCCCTGCTGATTTTGTACGTTTGCCCACTGACAAAGAAATGATCAGTCTATAATTTTGATGGTAAATTTATTTGAACAGTGAGAGACAGAATAACAAGAACAAAATCCAGAAAAACGCATGTCAAAAATGTTATAAATTGATTTGCATTTTAATGAGGGAAATAAGTATTTGACCCCCTCTCAATCAGAAAGATTTCTGGCTCCCAGGTGTCTTTTATACAGGTAACGAGCTGAGATTAGGAGCACACTCTTAAAGGGAGTGCTCCTAATCGCAGCTTGTTACCTGTATAAAAGACACCTGTCCACAGAAGCAATCAATCAATAAGATTACAAACTCTCCACATGGCCAAGACCAAAGAGCTCTCCAAGGATGTCAGGGACAAGATTGTAGACCTACACAAGGCTGGAATGGGCTACAAGACCATTGCCAAGCAGCTTGGTGAGGTGACAACAGTTGGTACGATTATTCACAAATGGAAGAAACACAAAAGAACTGTCAATCTCCCTCGGCCTGGGGCTCCATGCAAGATCTCACCTCGTGGAGTTGCAATGATCATGAGAACGGTGAGGAATCAGCCCAGAACTACACGGGAGGATCTTGTCAATGATCTCAAGGCAGCTGGGACCATAGTTACCAAGAAAACAATTGGTAAGACACTACGCCGTGAAGGACTGAAATTCTGCAGCGATTGCAAGGTCCCCCTGCTCAAGAAAGCACATATACATGCCCGTCTGAAGTTTGCCAATGAACATCTGAATGATTCAGAGAACAACTAGGTGAAAGTGTTGTGGTCAGATGAGACCAAAATGGAGCTCTTTGGCATCAACTCAACTCGCCGTGTTTGGAGGAGGAGGAATGCTGCCTATGACCCCAAGAACACAATCCCCACCGTCAAACATGGAGGTGGAAACATTATGCTTTGGGGGGTGTTTTTCTGCTAAGGGGACAGGACAACTTCACCGCATCAAAGGGACGATGGACGGGGCCATGTACCGTCAAATCTTGGGTGAGAACCTCCTTCCCTCAGCCAGGGCATTGAAAATGGGTCGTGGATGGGTATTCCAGCATGACAATGACCCAAAACACACGGCCAAGGCAACAAAGGAGTGGCTCAAGAAGAAGCACATTAAGGTCCTGGAGTGGCCTAGCCAGTCTCCAGACCTTAATCCCATAGAAGATCTGTGGAGGAAGCTGAAGGTTCCAGTTGCCAAACGTCAGCCTCGAAACCTGAATGACTTGGAGAAGATCTGCAAAGAGGAGTGGGACAAATTCCCTCCTGAGATGTGTGCAAACCTGGTGGCCAACTACAAGAAACGTCTGACCTCTGTGACTGCCAGCTAGGGTTTTGCCACCAAGTACTAAGTCATGTTTTGCAGAGGGGTCAAATACTTATTAGCTTCATTAAAATGCAAATAAATGTATAACATTTTTGACATACGTTTTTTCTGTATTTTTTTGTTGTTATTCTGTCTCTCACTGTTCAAATAAACCTACCATTAAAATCATAGACTGATCATTTCTTTGTAAGTGGGCAAACGTACCAATCAGCAGGGGATCAAATACTTGTTCCCTCACTGTACATCATAGCATACATCATAATATACATCATAGCATACATCATATTATACATAGCATACATGATATTATAAATCATAGCATACATCATATTATACATCATATACATCATAGCATACATCATACCATACATCATATCATACATCATATCATACATCATATTATACATCATATTATACATCATAGTATACAGCATATTATACAGCATATTATACATCATATTATACATCATAGCATACATCATATTATACATCATATTATACATATTATACAGCATAGCATACATCATATTATACATCATTATACATCATATTATACATCATATTATACATGATAGCACTCCACATCACATGCATTCCCACATTTATCATCGCACACCACTCGTCATAGCGTACAGCGCGCAACACACACACACATCCCATCACAGCACACAACACACAGCTCACATCACACCAACAATTACATTCCACGGATGTATGTTGAACTTAGTTCGCACCGTATGTGGCCACGTATTACGTACGGTAGCTGCGACGGTGGAAAATAAGTTCAACATACGACCGTGCGAATCGGCTGGGCGGGGTAACGACAACATTCCATGACAGCACACATCACACGCGAGACATTGCACGCAGTGCATCACACACCACACAGAGTACACATCACACACGCCACGCATGACACACATCACGGACACACTCGTCCCCCGTGCCTTAGATCACGCGTCGCAGCTCGCTCGGGTCAGAGGAAGCCCACGACGAGGTCGTTCCCGTAAATACGGTTGTTGTTGTTGTTCATGCCGGCTCGCCTCGCCGTTGCTAAACCCAGCAGAGGTGTTCGCTTCACTTCACCTCCGAGGCCCCCTTCTCAAAGTCTCCCCTTGGCCGCTGCTGACTGATTTAAGGCTAAGTCGACCCTGGGGGAGGCCCAAGACCGGTCCAGGTGTTCGCCGCTGTTGCCGGTCGTGAGCGAGACTGGGACCCGAGTCGCCGGATTCGTAGCGCAGTGCGCTAACCACTACGCCACCGCTCTCCACACCACAACTACCACCCCGTGACTCACGTGGTTGCTTACACGTCAAAAGCGTTGCTAAATCTGCCGCGCCGCGTCCCTGCAGGTATATTGTCATCGCCTTCCCCCTCCAGCCACGTGTGAACAAGGAGATTGCCTGCGTCTTCTCATTGCAATCATCTGGAGTGCGTCTCTACTCATCGCGTTCCCAGCCGCTTATTACACCACGGAAACCCCGTGGGAGCTCTCTGCTCCAACCGAGGTCAGAGAGGGTGAACCCCACGACGTTCTGTGCACCGATCTGGCCCGCCGCTCAAGAGGCGTTCTACAAGACGTACTGCTTAGTAGTGCTCGTGTAAGAGTTGGTGGCACTGTCATCATCGTGGCCATTTGCTGCACGTCGATTGACAAGGAGCTATGGGTTAAGGTAAGGCGGACTCTTAAAATCGTCATTTATATTGAACTGATTCAAATAAGCATTTAGTGTGTAGTATAGCCTTAAATATAGCAATAGGTGTGACCCTATTTGGTAATAAAACAGTTGTGTTAAGATGTTAAAACACCAAACTGAAACCTTTTGCAGGGAAGCACGTCTACATTAAACACATATACTTCGACTCGTTTCAAAGACAACGCATATACTATCAGAGCATGTTTATTTAATGTTCACCACAAGTATAAACTTCAAATCTAGATAGAAAGGGTAAAAAAAACGTTTATTAATTTTACGAAAGCTGTCTCGGGTGTGGACCAATCAAATTCAAGGACAGTGCATATTATTATCAGAGTTGTCTTTTTTGTTTGCATTTTGACTGCTTGCGTTGTGGTTATTGCAAACATGATGCCTTGAATAAAGGTGTCAGTTTTTGTGCCAGTTAAAAGGGTAAAACCTATTCCTAAATTTTACGATAAACAACACGCGAGCTGCGGCCCTACAGGTGAAGCCTCTGAACTTGCACCACGTGCGGCAGCGCTGGGCTTTAACCGTGACGTCACGCCGACGGCGCGCCAGCCAATCCGCGCGCGGGACGCGGCTGGCACCCAGGATCTCTGCCGCCACCGGAAGACTCCCTCCTTGGGTTTTATTTCCTCTGCCGGAAGAGGAATGACGAGATGGGTCTACCACCACCGGAAGAGGCGCGCGAGGCGGGCGTTCGCACCGCGTGAAGATTGCTCCGGGGAGCGATAAAACACGGAGATGTCTTCCGGAAGACGGCGACGTCACTCGGGGAACTTCCCCGTCCGTGTTTACGAGCGATGGCGTCGGGGTGACGCGCGTCGACGGGCGAGGCGACGTCGACGGACGAGGCGACTACGGCGACGTTGACGGGTGAGCGAGGCGACGTTGACGGGCGGGCGAGGCGACGTCGACGGACGAGGCGACTACGGCGACGTTGACGGGCGGGCGACGTTGACGAGCGAGGCGACTACGGCGACGTTGACGGGCGGGCGAGGCGACGTTGACGGGCGAGGCGACGTTGACGGGCGAGCGAGGCGACGTTGACGGGCGGGCGAGGCGAGGGAAGCAGGTAATGGTCACGGGTCAAGGTAACGCGTGACATATTCGTGACACGGGTGGCTGTCGCGCAGTTTAAAGGGCTGGGACGTGCGTTCAATGTTGACATGCAGCACTGAACATAGTCGAGTGTACACACAAACACTGTGTACACACTCAGGTGTACACACACTGTGTACACACTCAGGTGTACACACAAACACCGTGTACACACTCAGGTGTACACATAAACACTGTGTACACACTTACGTGTACACACAAACTCTGTCTAGATTAGACAGTTTTAGAGAAATGACAAGTTGTTCCAGTTGCCATCAGAAACAGTGTTTTGTATTCCCGGCCTACCATTCCATACAAGACAACTGTCACACTGCATGGGACGGCCCTTATCCAGCAGTGGATTGTGCAAAGCATGGTGCACACCAGATGCAACCTATTTTGGTCATATAATTGCCTGACGTCAATATTTAACTGAAGCATGTGTTCCCTTTTCTACAGAAAGTTCCCAATGAATGCAGAAGAAAGATTGCAATGGAATCTGAAAGAGATATAAACGATAACATTCAGCTGCAAGGAGAACATTTTGGTTTTACGAAGGTACAGCTGGCGGAGGTGCACAGATTGTTTGTACCTGTGTAATCGAGTAGTGAAAGCTCTATTGAGATGTGTTGGAGAATTAAATGTCATGTTTGTACAGCTGCATTATTTTAATTCAGCTGATGAAAATCTTCAGAAGTTCCAAAAATGTGTATGCAAACATCAGATTCTGAATGCTAAAGCTTTCCAGTTGCACGGCATCATAAAAAAAAACGAAAACAGTTTCTAGTGGGGAATTGTAGATCAACACCCACGACCTGCACGGTGTGGGGTGGCCCTCATCCACCAGTGGATTGACAAACGGGGCTGCTCAAGTACAACGCTGGGTGTGCACGAAAGCCTTGCCCACCCTTTCGGAGATGAATGATGCCATATTTAACTGGAGCATGTGTTCCTCTTTTTTCAGAAAAGACCGGATAAATGCAGCAGAAACTTGATAATGAAATCTGGAAGAGATGTTAACGATAACATTCAGCTGCAAGGAGAACATTTGGATTTTATGAAGGTATTTGGTGGACGTGTTAGAGAAGACAATGTCATGTTGTACAGCTGCAATGTTTTTATACAGCAAATTCAAATCTTCAGGATCTCCAATTATGAGTACACGTTAGGAAACCTTTCAGATACTGAATATTAAGGCTTTTAATATGCACAGCATCATCAGAATAAACATAGTTTGTACTATGCCTTCATTAATGAATAAATAAGGATGCTTCAACTCATGACGCAATACCATAATTAAGCATAGATGTTAAAATCCTATGTATGTTGTTTGTGATGGTTCACGTGACCCCTCGAGCCACCAGAAGCTGCTATATTCACGGTGTTTAAAAAAATCGATTCTCGAATTGTGACCCTTAGTCGAGACGATTTTCTGAATCTCGAGAAAGCGAGAATCGTGCCGCCCCTACGCTCCTAGCTGGGGTCATGTATCCGCTCAACATGAGCACCGCACCACTGTCTGCACATCTCCTTATACCTGCCTCATCAGATACAGATGCGGTTCAACCACTTTTGTGTGTGATTCGTTGACCGTTAATGTATGAATCCTTATAACTCCTTGCGGCGTTGTGGGATGCTGTTGGCATGAACGACGCTGTATAAAATATAGCGTTCATTATTATTAACTCTACACCATGATCTGTCTACTGCTGCATGGAAGTCTGCCCAAGTCATTACCATCGCTCACAGTTTTACAATGCAACAATCGAGCTCTTACGCGAACTCGTCACTCCATCTGTACGGTGGACGTACTCTCAGGGGTGTCGACCACAAGTTCTTAATTAAAACGTTATTTTTGTCTTTTTTACTGCAGGTGTTGCCTGAGGAGTTGATCCTGAAGATATTGGTGTGCTTGGATCCACAGAGCATTTGCCAGTCGATGCAAGTGTGCCTTTCCTGGAAGGACTTCATCAGTGAGGCTGAACCTCTGTGGAAAAGCATTCTGTGTACACATTACATGAGGCAGAAGAGGGCAGTAACAGGAGCTCCAGGGACCTACAAGGTATTCGAGACCTCATCTGACCAAAATCACTGCCCTTAAAGTTGCTGCGCTGTGACATTGATATTGACCCTTAGTTTTACCTGTAATTTTACTTTATCGGGCAAAGAATAGTGATCTCATCATTGATTTAATAAAAATGTGGGCGAGCTGGCATACAGTATATGGCCGCATACAGATAATTGCGAGGCAAGATTGCAGAATAATTTTTAAAAGGTGAATATTTCAAAAGATATCGTTAACGGTACACGGCAATGCATACCTTTGTTGAAATGTGCTAATTTATTGACTGAAACGGGTTTTTTGTTGTCTTCGTGCACCTCTGTTTCCAAAGCACTCGGATACATTTACTGGTTATCATGATAAACGTATCTTGGTCTTTCCACCGCTAACCATTCCACGCCGTTATGGTTTGTGCTTTCCTCTGCTTTAGGATCTTGTGAGAAAGTACGGACGTTGGTTCAATGGACACAACAGCCACTTGTGCTCAGCTGAAGAGGCCCAAAATATAATGTGTCCCATGGGTGTAAATGAGTGGGGAATGATTTTTGAGAGAGAACTTGGGAGAATTACTGCAAACATACCTTTCTAATTGCTACTTTTATGAGGCAACAGCTTTGAAATATGCAATTGTCATACAATACACTTCGGATTCATGTAGCCTCTACAAGCTACCACAGCTCAATATGCATTATAAAATGCAATGTGCACATCGACTGAATTATATATTTGTTTTATGATCCTTTAGGATGAAGGGAGTGAGGTGTATAATGCTACAGAGCAGATGGAAAGGAGAGAAGACTATGGTAGAGATTTGATTGAACATATTCCAGAGACATTCAGGTCTATACTTTCATGTACAAAGTAATTTATGGTGTGAATGGTCACAAGACGATGCAGTGTAATGCACAACGGGATGATAGAGTGCGTGATTTACCTTGCACAGGTATTTTAAAGTCTCTTCAAATGGCAACATAAAAAGTCAAATTGGTTTTCTGATCAGTCACTGGCCATTAGTCATCTGCTCTTTACAGCCCTGAGCTTATGGTGTAAATTCCCCATTCCCATGGTAGTGTTCAGCCTATCCATAGGACAACCACTCTTGATTCTCACAGTGACACTAAGCACAGCATAACCCAGCAGAATTAAAAGTGTATTTTTTTTTATAAAGAGCACTACACAAGTAGACTGAGTTGCGCGCGGTGGTCTCGGCGCTTTGCAGGCAAGGATTGGTAGGGCAGATGGGTTGTGAAATGGCCAAACCTGCTGGGCTGACCTCTCGAGCATTCACCTCTCGTGTAGTGCCTGGCTGTTCTGCAGGGTTGCTTCCACGTCAAACAAATTGGTCAAACATGGCGAATCGCGGTCGTTCTGAATTAGAGTCCGCGGCTCATTGAGGTTTTCCCGCATAAAATAAATATAATGACTTATTATTCTTGGTTCTTTTGGTAAAGTCACGCAGAAGGGAAACAATAAAATGATAAAAATATAATACGATAAAATTATCACGACGTTTCGACTGCAACACAAGCAATGGTGGTTTTCACACCTGATGATGATTGCTTGTGTTGCAGTCGAAACGTGAGAATTTAATTGTTTTATATTTTTATTATTTTATTCCCTTTCTGCGTGACTTTACCGAAAGAACCAAGAATATGAATCCCTGCAGTCACGAAAGCTTTAAATAAAAATATAATGACTTATTGTTACGGGAATAGACTTAGCGATCCACTCAGCATGTCGTCCATATTTAGGAACTATGTAAAAGCAGAGGTTGGGGAATTTGCTTCGCAGTTATCATTGACAGACACTGATTTACCACTACAACTCAATTATATGATATGCTATGAAAGTTAAAACATACATTTGGATATTTTATGGCTATTGATCCCCTTCCTGCTCTAATGAATGAGATTACTGCAGTAGATACCTGCTTATACAACCATTTTAGTGATGAAGGTGGTTGACATTTTACCAATACTTTTTTTTTATCAACTTTGCACTTACTGTTTGGGTCATAAGATATGTTTAACTTTTCTTTTGTATTTATTACAGCAACACTTTTGAGACTCCCTGCAATGCTCTTATCAGAGTCCTTGTCATGTGCCACTTATGTTGTGTGCATGTATATTGAACTTCTTTCGCATCGTACGTAGCCAAACTTGCACATCACACTGAGTAGAAGGATGCACTTATTTTATCTCTTCATTTTCTCGACACGGTGAGGGAAGCATCTATTTCAATAGGCATTGGTAACTTTTTTTCATACGACGATATGCGAAATTCGCCTAAATCCACCGATGGCTTGCAAATAATAACTTTAATTGGATGGTTAATTTGATCGAGGGCATGTGATTTAAAAGGGATTGTGTCAATTGATGCCACTCAATTGTACTTGGCAGCCAACCGTGGGATGAACGCAGTAGAAACGTCCCCTAGGTGCATTCACAAGTCCTGCAGCAACCCACACAAGGACACCATTTCAACGGCTTAGTTTACTTGCTCCAAATTATTACAACCAAACACGAGCACTTGTGTGTGATTAAAAATGTAGTACATTGATAACTTTTATTCTGTTTTGTAAGAAAATCTAGAATAAAAATGTCCATGCTGTGTGTAATTACGCAAAGCTCATGCATATCGAGAATGTACTGTCCAGTCATGCTCATGGTTGGATACATATTTTCAAATAAATTATATTTTATTGGTCAAACTCTGGAGCATCCAGGGTTTGTTAAGGTATGTTTAAAGTACAAAACTGATTTTCGAGATTTTGCTGTGGACAAACATGAACACTGAGAAGGAACCCTGAAACTACAATATATTAGATGAGGGAGCACTTGCTATCTTGACACTGCTGCCAAGATACAGACCGCAATTTGGGAGGCCATCGTATTTACAATTTGCTTCATTATGGGTTGCAGCCGTGGTGTGATGATAGTGGAACGTGTTCAGTTGAGAATCGCATGGCATTCAAAGAGGAGTGTTGATGAGAGAAATGCGCAGGGGTGGGTCGGGTTGCAGGTTTCACGAAAGCGAGGCGGCTTGTGGTCCGGGTCAGTCGACGTGCGGGTCAGGCTTGGGGGTAAATCCGGGTCACGGAGTTGTGGGTCGGGTTGGGTCGCGGGTCTAAACAGTAGACTCTGCATTACAATATATACTTGTGTGTGTGTCGTGTGTGTTAAATGCAGGTCAATGTTGGTGTTCGTATATCATTTGTTTCATGTTACTGTTCTATTAGCCTGAAAGTATATCACATCGAGGCCCACCCCTCACCTGTTTGACGGCACGGCTACACACGTGGGGAGGAGATACCACCAAAGGGAGAGTTCGGTCAACCTTGCTGGTGCGAGTCTCGGCGATAATTAGCAATACATTACAAATAACTCCGCCAGAAATGTGTTTCTGCCTGTCCCAAGCCAGGATAAATGGAGGAGGGTTGGCGTCTGGTGGAAACCGACCGTAAAACCCTCAATCCAAAACATGGAAAGTCCTTGCAAACAAGTGGCCCTCAGTCCCCCGCAGCCCGTAAGTAGGCAGAGGGTGCGAAGAATCTCGGGACCCAATGACTGCCGCTGCAGGGAGTGCAGACCCGGGCCGTGGTAGCTACGTTGTCTGCACATATCGAGACGGAGAAACAAAACGGAAAGAGCAGAAGGTTGTTCGAGAGGAAGATACGTTTGGTCACATGGAATATTGGAACGATGACAGGAAAGGGTCAGGAATTAGCGGACCGCTTGAGAAGAAAGAAAGTCGAAATCGCATTCATCCAGGAAACAATGGAAAGGCAGCAAAGCGAAAGAGATTGGTTGTGGTTTTAAATTGTTATACCATGGAACCACAGCAAGGCGAAATGGGGTTGGAGTTGTGCTGATTGTGGCGATTAAGACGAAGGTGGTGGAAGTGAGAAGAGTGGATGACAGTGATGATAGACGAGTACTGGACAGAGGCGTTGTGAATGTGGTGTGTGCGTATGTCCCGCAGATGGGCTGCAGTGGGCAAGAGAAGGGTGAATTTTTGGAGAGCTTAGACCAGGAGTTTCAGAGCTTCCCGGTAGATGAAGCAGTGGTGATGGGTGCAGACTTATATGGAAGAGTGGGAAGAGGTAAGGACGGATATGCAAGGAACCCTGGAGGATGTGGATGAGGCAGTAGGAATGAGGGAGGAGATGCCATTCTTCGAATGGCCCAGGCAAATGATTTTGAAGTGGTGAATACCTCCTTCCAGAAGCAGGAGGGACATCTGATGACCTCCCAGAGTGGAGAGGTGATGAGCCACATAGATTTTATTCTGGTGAGGAGGAAGCACCTGAAGGAGTGGAGAACTGCAAAGTGATCCCTGGAGAGTTGTGTGACTGGACAACATCGACTACTGGTGGCAGACTGCGTAGTGAAAGGATTTAGGAAGAGCACGGTGAGACAAGAACTGTAGCAGGGTGAAGTTGTGGCGACTAAACAATGAGAAAGAAAACTTGTGCTGGCAAGCTGTGGAGAACTTAAAAAGCGTAAGGCCTAGGGGGAGCGCGAATGGAATGTGGGAACAGCTGGCGAGTGGAATACTGAAAGCAGCAGGTAGTGGTAGAGTGAGCAAAAGAAGGAAGCTGCAACAAAAGGACGCGTGGTGGCGGAGTGATGACGTGAAAAAGGCAACGAGAGAAAAAGGCCAAGTTTAAGAAGTGCCAGGACACGAGAGAGAGAGAGAGAAGGACCATCTGGGTGAATAGCTGGCAGCGAGAAGAGAGGCAAAGAGAGTGGTAGCAATGGCAAAGACAACAACAGTGTTAGCACAACTCTACCAGAAGCTTTACAGCAAAGAACGCGATAAGATGGTACACCGTTTGGCAAGAGCCAGAGAGAGAAAGACCATCGAGCATGTGAATCTCGTTAAGAACAGTGAAGGAAGAACAATCTTGGATGAGATGAAGGTTAGAGAGAGAAATGAAAGAGTACTTTGAGAAGTTGCTGAATGTGGAACACCCAAGACGCGAGATTGTTGAGGAACATTCAAGAGTAGAATTAGAAGCAGATACTATAGCCAGATACTATAGCCAGATACTATAACCAGATACTATAGCCAGATACTATAACCAGTTACTATAGCCAGATACTATAGCCAGATACTATAACCAGAGACTATAGCCAGATACTATAACCAGATACTATAGCCTGATACTATAGCCAGATACTATAACCAGATACTATAGCTGGATACTATAGCCGAATACTATAGTCGGATACTATAGCTGGATACTATAGCCGGATACTATAGCTGGATACTATAGCCAGATACTATAACCAGAGACTATAGCCAGATACTATAGCCAGAGAAGAGGTGGTGGAGGCTCTGGGGATCATGAAACATCAACAGGCAGTGGAGCCAGATGTGATTCCAATTGATGTGTTTACATTAATGGGGGAAAAGGGTGGTGAGAGGACATTGGTTCTCATATTTAAAGGGAAAGGTGATGAACACGAGTGTGGGAACTGCAAAGGAATAGCATGGACGAGTCACACCATGAAACTTTGGGAAAGCATCATAGAAAGGAGACTGAGGTGGCAGGTGGAGATTAGCGAGAGTCACTTTGGATTCAGACAGGGAAGGTCAACAATGGATGCGATCTTTGTACTGAGACGAGTATTGTTGGAGAAGTTCAGAGAGAAGACACGGGACCTGCATGTCGGTGTTTATTGATCTAGAGAGAGCGTATGACAGGGTGCTTAGAGAGCTCATCTGGTGGTGTTTGAGAAGAATAGGTATTCGTGAGGTATATGTCTCGCTGATCCAGGGACTGTATTAAGGAGGGATAATGCAAGTGCGAAGCAGCTGCGGAGTGCCGGAGAGCTTCCAAGTCAAAGCGGGAGTGAAGCAAGGTTCCGCCTTGAGCCCCTTCCTGTTCATCCGGGTGCTGGACACACGAGAGATTAAAAGGGAGGCCCCCTGGTGTATGCTGCTGTTTGCAGGCGACATTGTGCTATGCGGTTAAAGCAGAGGGGTAGTGGAAGATGATTTGAAGATCTGGGTGCAAAAGATTGAAGGGAATGGGTTGAGGATCAGTCGGAAAACACTGAATATATGGTGGCAAATTTCAGAATAAATAATGCAGGAGGATTGCAAATTGTAAGTGACCAGCTAATGAAGACGAACGAGTTTTAAGTGGCTGGGTGCAACTACGTGGTGCTGATGGATCACCAGAAGGAGAGATGAGAACACGAACAAGGGCTGGGTGGCTGAAATGGCGAGAGATGACCGGTGTGGTGTGCGATAAGGGGGTCCCAGTTTGGTTTAAGGGAAAAGTGTGTAGTGTATAGCG